CTCCTTCCCTCTCTACATTTCGATTCTGGATTTCCTCAGTCATCACATACCCCTTCCCGCTTGAACCGACCGCGACCGAGTGCACCGCATGCACAGAATAGCGCATCCACCGAATAGAGATCCTCCGCCGAAACCACCGCCGAGAGCTGAGGACAAGTAGAACGATAGAGTGTATTGGTTACTGTATATATATCATATCTGCTATAGTTACCAACCATCTTCCGCCCCCGCTTCCCACTTCATGATCTCCCTCTCATAACTCGCCATTTCCCTTCCTTCTCTCCACCGCTTTCCTGTGATCTTCTCTTCCCTCTAACTTAACCTCCTTTGCCATGTCGTTCTCCACTGTCTCTATCGCGCGCGGCCATGGTGTCCTTCTTTGACTTCGCCACTTTCTACTTCCCTGCTTATCCGAAGCCGGCGCTTAGGACCGGGGCTTCCCCCTGGTTCTCGGTTTTGATCTCTTCGAAAACCGCGCGCCCCGATCTCGGTAGCCATCAATCCCTCATCTATCTTTCGGCAGAAATTAGTTAATCTTTCAGGGTTAATGTATTCAATTGTTTTGATGCCAGGGACTCTGTCATCCGGGTAGACTCGTCCATAAAATCACTCCAGCTGTACAGCTTCACTTCAGAGGCCACTGTCGTCGCCCTGGATAACGTCGACATCGCTCCTGTCACGTAACCTCATTTTCTCTGAATTACTCTTCTTCTTGCCACGATACATACCCAGATTCTCAATATACAACTTTGGAAATCAGGTTCTCTCTGCATCCTCGCGCATCGCTCTGAAGTGCTTGGGACTTGCTGAATGCCCCTATATATTCGCTGGAGACAACTGCGTCAAGATCTACTACCTATCTCACACAATTGCGAAGCAAGATTTGCTGTTTCACCTGTCATATCTTTGGCGGCTGGAATGTATTTCCAAACACTACAATCGCTTGCAATTGCTACATAGGTTGTAGGATTAGATTGAGGACTAGGACAGTTCGAACTCACCCACATTAGGTGACCCAGAAGTTCTAAAACAACACCGCAGATGCTGCGTGTAACGAGTGATATCTGGTGATTGAGAGCACTCGGCCCGGGTTGGAAACGTTGTTTAGGGGGCTGGTCGCTCTGGGTTGAAGCGGGTAATATGGGGAGATTACTTATGTAGGTAACCGATTGAGGAGCAGGAAAGGGGAAAAGATAAAGAAAGTCATCCTGGTGGTGGGGCAGGGGGCGAGTGACGTCTCATGACTGCCTGTCTGGCGAGTGATCTCTGATGAGTTGATGTGACACATTGCGCACTAGCTCGGGAGAGGAAATGTCTGCCCGCGCGCAGGGTTGAATGATGGTTTTACGGCGGGTCTCGTAGACGCAATTTCTGTTCCTGCAGGTGCGAAGATCAATCTCGGTTGTTAGATGGGAGATGGCAACTAGTGCTAGCTCAGATTCGCCGGTCGCGACACTTGCGCGGCAACACCTACCTTACCTCCGAAACGCATACAATTTTGAGCCTTTTATATTGCTTATTCGATGCTTATATAAGCACGATTTGAGCGTTTCCCCAGATTTTGGTCTTATTCTCCCGTAATTGTATTGTGAGACTACGTTTTGGAAAATCCATAGCGCTAGATATTGATTATCAATATCAATGAGTCAAATCCTGAAGTAATGATTTTTTAACCATTAATTTTCTGAAATCCTGATCCTGGAATCAGGCGTAAATAAGCATAAGATAAGCCCTATTCTTGGAACAAGGGTTACACTGAATTTTTACTTATTAAATCTTGATTTTTGGATAAGACTTGGACTGAGTGCCTAAATAGGATTATTTGAGCTTTACCTGTGAATAAGCAATATCTCTGTTTAATGCATATCAAGGAATAAGCAAGATCTAGGAATTAATAGTATCCGCGAATCAGCAGTATCTGCGAATAAGCAATATCACCGTTTAATGCACATCTGCTAATTAGCAGCATCTAGAAATAAACAATATTGCCATTTCTTCCTGATTTCGAGGATAAATACACCGTTCAAGTTAAGTTAATAATACACTCTTTCTTTGCTTTTAGTTGAATCTAACGTCTCATCGACACCACCAAAAGAGCTTATCGTCCTCCGCCTCTAAACCACCGGCCTCGGTAAATGCACGTGTACTTGCAGTTGATATTGGCAGAATATAGATTTTGGGCATTGACAGCAGTCCGTAGATTACACACCTTCCTGTAGACATGAGTACGGGCGTTGATGGTATAATATATTCATTTTGCCCCATTTCTTTCAAAACCTCGACGTATACGAATAGACAATTAACTTGCCGCAATTAGTGCGCACATATATACTTAATTCAGCCAATTATTGGTGTCAAAGTGTCAGAATTAGGAGGTTTTAGAGTGATATATGTGCCTGCAGTATAGCCTATGTATTTTTGTTCTTTTTGATCGACAGGCATGAATCGCTGGTAGTAAATCAAGCTTTTGGCGCCTAGCACTTGCATATTATGCCTTCCATAGTCCCTATCGTACGCTGTACGGAGCTCGATATCGAAGACAATCTGACGTAAACTCTTGATAGAAAGTCATGCTTCAAGTTTGTCTAGGGAAAGCATCGGTAATCGTCCCAAAGCCCTAGGATTGATGTGATTGGCTGACGAGCCTGAGGCTAGATTACCTATCTCATTAGGCTCTAAAAGGCAACCATTAGATGCTAGAAGTAGGCATTCTAGAAAGGTAGGGCAGGATAACGCTACAGCTCTAAATACATCAGCAAGCAACCAAAATGAGTTTGGAGACTCCTGACGTATTTTGTATCTTGCTGATATAGGCCCAATATAGTCGGATTTGTGGCTTCAAAAACACTGTTGATTGCGAATCGTACTGTTTGCTTGTGCGATTTGTGACTCAGCAGGTGTAATTCAGCGTTTCTATGGTTAGTATACATCTCTTGACTCTTGAATAAACAGTGATATTTCTCCCCAATTAGAACATTAGCATTCCAAGGCGTGGTGTATTGCCTGCGATAGGTGTAACAATGCGTCGAAACATGAATATTTGGTCGATTCAGCCACTTGTTGAGCACGTTCGCTGATGTATTTGGTGGCTGAGCATTTCCTAATTGCTACCAGGTTCCTCCGGGTCAGATATATCATCATTGATACTCGTCGCAATACTAGAAGCACGTGAGCTTGCCCTACCACTACCCCGCATACCTGCCCAATTAATTAGCCTAAAAAACAGCCTTCTACTAGTAGCCATCAGGGTAAAACAGCTCATACTCTGCATGGCGTCAGCGCCTAGATATTGCTTCGTAATTAGGGTGCAGCCTGATGCCCATTGGCTGTGCACCATCGTCACCGTATCGCACTTCTTTAGGCGTGGCAATTCGCATAATTCTGCACCAAACTCTGACTGAAAAACACATATTAGATTAGATTGCAGACGTTGATTAGTCAACCAGGTGCGCAATACCGCCGCAGCGATCATTGCAACAAATAACGCACCAATGGTAAATCCGAGTCGTTATCAGAATCGTCGAGAATTGCACCTACAGGAAACTTTTGAGCACGTTGTCAACCTTTAATTGGTCGGTAATCTGAAGGTGTATCGATATTTAGAATGTTTCTACCTCTACACGTCATATTTAATGCAGTTAGAGGTGTAGAGGTGCAGAGGTGTAGAAATGTAGAGATGTGGTGCAGAGGTGGAGGGGGTGGTGGGGTGACGTTGGGAGTGTAATTTCATATGTGCTAAGGTTCCAAATTTACTACTTACTAATATATCCCCCTGAAATATCAATCTCACCTCCCTAACCTCTCTAAATACAGCAATCAAGCAACAGATTATTTCATTAAAACACTCCTGATTCGTTTCAAAACGTCAAAATGACTAACCCCACGCAACTGTTTGAGCAAGCAACCTCTGCGGATGTAGGTGCGGTCGCTGCGGTCACTGCGGTAGATGCAGGTACGGCGGATAATCGCTTTGATTCTATCGTACAAGCAGAGGTGCTGAATTTGAATATAGGTGCCTGTTCTAACTTTTGCTAATCCTGTGGTTACAGCCGTCTCTCGTTATAGTGATACTGAACATAGTGATATTCTCGTTATAAAGATGACACCTGCCGATCCCAATCCTTTAGGATGGGGTTTAGTTATTTTTTTATATAAGGATACCACTAGGTATTTAGTGAAGATTTGTATGCCTATCCTTATAACAAGAGTAAATTTCGGTTTGGTGAGTGACCCAGAAAGGGGGGAGGGTGAGTATTTTCAGGCATTTTACGTGACAAAAAGCCCGAAAACAAGACCGAAATATGAATGTGACTATACTTAGGGGTGCCGGAAAGGGATGCAATGTTTGAACTAGCAACGCCGAAAGGTACTTAGAACTTCAACTTTTAACACAACACAATGCTTGAGAAAGGTAGATATTTTAGTCATACGCATGATGAATGAGTCTCTAGAATAGAGTCCGCAATTTTTCAAGTCACTGATTTGGGGGTTTAGCCTACAAAAGGACAACTTGTGACAAGAGACAGTAATAAAAGGAGAATCAACAGCCACCCACATCAACTCTTGCCATAACTATGATCTCCAGCCTCTAAATTACCATAGATTCGCTCCACATTCTGTTAGCTACTTTGGTTGTTGAGAAATTTGGACCATTTGATCGTTGCATCACTTTCCGGCACCCCCGGATACATGTACTTAAAGAGTCACATGTCTATACCCTAACAATCGCTGTCAATTTAGACTATTTTTCCTTGCAGCCTTGATCAAAAAAAAAAACCTAACCCTCATTCTGTATAGTGATAACCTCGATATAAGGATACCATTTTTCGGTCCCGACCCCATCACTATAACGAGAGGCGGCTGTATCAACCGTAAAAAGCAACACAATTCCCCTAAGAATGATGACTAATCAACCAGAGCCTCACATCATATCCTTATCTTATCCGATCGTCGCCTATCAAGGTATGAGGTTAACCTCCCTTTGACATCACCCTTCGACAATGGAAACACCCCCACCTTCAAACACACCCACTTTTGATGTCGGTCCCCAGGCGCCGACACCCACCCTCCGCCGCCAGGAGTCTCTCGAGCACATTCTCAACTTTACCATCTTAAACTCGCCACCGTCTTCGCCCTCCGAGGTGGTGGAGGCATCCTTCATCTACCACCAGATCCTCGCTGACTGCGAGCACGACGGGCCCGCTCGTATCCCTCCGAGACATCCACGACCAGTATCTATCAATCCTACTAATCCCTCTAATCAGCGAGGGCAGCAAGCTGGTGGCGGTGCTGGTAGCCTACCGGGCATCGCCGAGGGGGGGTCAGACGTGCTCGAGGATGCCAGCAGCCCAAGCCCAAACGACGATAACGATAACGACGACGAAGCAAGTACCAGCCCGCTCGTTCACGAGCTCTTTGCAGCGCTCTACGAACACGCACCAACGGTCCAGGGCCAGGCAAACATTGTCCGTCTTGTCCTTCACGCGCTCTTTGGTCCCAGCTCCCCCGACAACCACACCTCTGCCCTGCAGCGCCCCCTTGAAGTCATTCTTCCCCTTGCCCGGGCGTGGCCCACATACACCTCCGAGCAGAAAGGAGGTGTCTACGGAGCTCTCACAATCCTCGCCGTCGAGCTGCTCGACTGCTTCTTCGTGCCTTTCCTCTCCCAGGGCAACCACACACCTGCGGTACGCTCATCCCTCATCTCGCCAACCTCCCGCTCCGAGATCGACCCCACGGCCCAGGCCACCTACAGCCGCCTACAGTCCCTCCGCCACCTCTGCCGCTCGCGGGACGGCAACAGATGCGTTATAACCCACCAGCAAGGGCACGTGCCCACCCGCGGCAGGAGGCTCCCCTCGCGCCGCCAGATCTCATCACAACCATCCGTGCACCTTGAATGCGCACACATCATCCCGCACAGCCTGAACCAAGCCGGCGCCGGCGGACACCTCGCAGACGACAAAACTGTCCTCTGGCGCATCCTCAACATGTTTGACCCCGGCGTCAGCTTGCTGCTGCAGGGCGAGAGGATTGATGGGCCGGCAAACGCCATGATGCTGTACCCAGAGCTGCACAGCCGATTTGGACTCTTGCATTGGTATCTTGAAGAGGTGCCCGGGGGCGGGGGCGGAGATGACGATGAAGCCGTCTATGTATTCTGCAGGAGCAGGGGCGCCCCTCTGTTGCCGCTGCACTGCATGCCCGCCGGGCCGGGGGGCACGGTCCGCTTCACGCGCATGGATGGCAGCCGGACGGAGCTGCCGAGCAGGAGGCTGCTGGCTGTACATAGGGCGTGCGCAAAAATCCTGGAGGTGGCCGGCGCAGCGGAGTATGTAGAGGACCTGCTGGACGAGTTTGAGGATGTGAGAGGCATGGCGGGTCTGGCGGGGGATGGCAGCTCGGATCTCGCGATGCTTGTTAGGGTCGGGGTGGGCCTGGGGGAGGGCTGGTTTCACTGCGAGCGGGAGCGGGAGCGGGAGGGAATTGCAGTGTAGTGTGTGCGGGGGGTGTATGCTTTGGCCCTCGTCGGAGGTGGGGCATACTTATACCGGGGGGGTCACCAAAGTAGTAGTAGTGTTCAGCCACAATTAGTTGAATACCTTAATGAATAATAACAGCGTTCAAGATCAAGCACACAATCGCAATTGGGTTACCAAGAGCAGTGCCATGCCGGATATATCCCTTCGTTCGTCAGAGCAAAATAGGAGGGGTCACAGAAGGTGACTTTACAGCAAAAGGTTCACGGAATGATGGTTAGGTTTATTACCGAGTAAAAGCTGCCCATTAGCCCACACCATGCTCCGCACTGTACTGTATAAGGTTCTCCAAAAACCGAACTTTACAAGCGCGCGGCTACTCCGCGCCGGGATGCGCCACCGTGCACACCCGCGCTCTGTGATCTTGGTAAGCTAGCGAAGGAGAAGGCAGCAGATCTACTCTAGACAGAAAATGAAACTTTAGGCCAACTGTTACGCGGCGCCAGTCTTCATTGGGACTAGCGTAAGCAGCAAGTACAGCTATCGGCGGAAATGTGGCGTTGGAAAATCGCCCTGCTCTCGGCGTGATCGTCAGTCCCTGTTTCCGCAATAATTCTACCGATAGCTGTACATACATGTACATGTATATCCTCCAACCTTCGAGACCTTAATAGAATCATATTGTTCTGCTATTACGTATTTCCATAGTGCTACTTTCGTCTTTGTGACCCAGCAGGCCATTACACCAACCATCAATTTCGGTCAAAGTTACTTCTCAGGGTTGATGCTTGGCCTAAGATCTCTAATAATTGTGGTTGGTCTCGATAAGGGTGGCGCTCTGGCTGCCACACTTTTACCCCGCACCCACAGCCTGCAGGTCGAGAGTATCATTAAATGTTGCGGCTGCATGTGTCACCCACGATCACTGGGGTTCCCTAGATGCATACATCTGCAGGTACAGTGAGCGCCGTGTGATGATCGGATGGGGTTCACGTTAGGTCAAGGAAATTAAATGCAGTTATATACTCGCAGGTTCATGGCGCTTCCGAACACGACTGATATTGATTGCACACAAAAAACCGCCAAGATTGACTTTTTGTATGACATGCAACAGCGGTGGTGTATGGTGCCCCCCAGTCTTAAAGGTAACATGAGAAAAACGCCAAGTCTCGAATAACTTTTCAACCACGATTGATATTAAAAATCTGGAAAGACAAACTCTTCTTCATCATGCTATCCAGCTTTTCTCTTTCCAGATTTTTAATATCAATCGTGGTTGAAAAGTTATTCGAGACTTGGCGTTTTTCTCATGTTACCTTTAAGACTGGGGGAACCATACTTCGGGGGTGGGAGACACCACGCTGCCACTGTTGCGCGAAGGTGTCTTCTCACTTATCCCCCGCCCCCACCCCCACCCCCGAAGTACATATATACACCACACCGCCCTTGGCTTCGTCCCTCCATAAGGCCCTATAAGTGCGACATCTCACACCCCCCCCCCCCCCACTTCAGGTCCCTACTCCTACCATAACCCTCTTCCCGCAGCGCTTCGTCTCTGAGAAAACTCGTAGTGATGTGCTCCGGCATCCGCAAAAATGCCGCACAGCTAGCCAGCCAGCACTCGCTGGGCGATGACCTTCCAGCAGCACCTATTTGGCGACAATAACGATGATGACGAGGATAGCTCCGACAGCACGATGCAGAACAAGATCAAGGATGAGCATGAGGATGAAGATAGCTCTAACGGCACCATGCAACAGGGAAATAAGCGTGAGGCGAGCTACACGCCTAGGCTGCGGGATGGGATCTCGAGGGAGAGTGATGGAGGTGTGCAGGACGAGTTAGGGGAAGGGAAGGAAATCAAGGAGGAAGGCAACGAACCAGCCACCACCAAGGGATCGGTTGATCTATGTCTTAAGTTCAAACGTAATGAACGCAGGATAAAAAGAGAAGCCGGAAAATGCGTGCAGCAAGCCAAGACAACAGGAACCCCCATTGTAATCATGCAAGGAACTAACGGGTGTGAATCTTAGTGTCTGGCTAAGCTAGGATCCCTGAAGGACAAAAGGAAGAATACTATTAGGAGGCTATTATTAACCCTTGCTATAGACCCCACCCCCTTGCTATAGCGAGATTGCGGTTATGGGTGGGTTGGGGGGCGTTGGGATTTAGCTATGTTATTGCTTCCAGTTGGTATCGGAAAGTGATGGGTTTTGCTGTTCATATCCATAACAATGGCCCATGGCCACATACATGTAAGTATTTTTACAGGCTTGTTGTGGCTAGTGAGCTAATACTTTTTTGTATATTTTTAATTCAACCCTCACTTCACCAAACCTCCCAACCATCTTCTATATACGGTCGGCCTTGTTTCCTTTAGTCGAGTCATAACACAGCATATCATCAAATGCCATATATATACCAGTTGCCTCGGGAGTCTGGGTTTTTGACGAGCTCTATTCCCCTCATCATCGGATCGGAGTTGGGCTAGGGATCGATTTGTACAGGTGAGTGTGACCGGTTCAGCATGAAGAATTGGTATTTGCTGCGATTTTTTTTTGCTGCTACTTTAGCTGTCTGTTTCGGTGCCTGTTTTGATGTCTTTCGGGGGTGCCTTGGCCGATGGGTGGGATCCAGAATTCGATCCGGCCTTGTAGTAGCTGAGACTCTGAGCCAATTTTATGATTAGGATATTAGTGCATATCACTAAATGGAGATTGATCGTTCGAAGCATTGGGATGTTGCAGACCAGGTTCGGTATCAGCTGCCTGTTGCAGTAGGGGGGTTTCGCAACCGGACTTTGAATTAATTATGGGATGGATGGGATGTGATTGGAAAATGAAGGCCTAAGTGGGGCAGAGTTACTGGAAATCATCCTCGTTGAGGTCAAAACACTCCCAAAGTCCATTAATCGAAACCTACATAGCGCTCGTTGCTTTGAGTTATGGAAAGAAAAAGAGACAAGCGAGGGTTCGATTAACAAACCCTAACTAACCTTAACCAAGAGTCCTTAGACACTTTGCGTTGGGAGGTCCGGAGTCTTTTTTAGTGCAGTTGTGGCTGTGTAGCCAAGCCTTCTTTGGTCCAGGGCCAGATTTGACTCCAGTGCGGGGGTCAATCAACATGATTAGATCCTCACAACCTCGAATGCCCACAAAACCATCATCTGTAGTCCGATTGACAAGATCTTTGATCCGTTGAAGCAGGATGGACCCCGAACACATCTATGCCAATTTCCTGATGCAAATCGCCGAGATTGAGGTGTTAGGGAGGGCTTTAGTAGAGAACAATTCACGGGGAAGAGGGCAACAGCGCGATGGTGGGCTAATTAACCCGAACTCTCTAGAAGGGGAGGCGTGGAAAACCTATTTCAGGTTTTCAAAGGATAAAATATATCGCCTAGCCAACTATTTGCATATTCCCGACAAGGTACAAAGCAGTAATTTGATTTTCGAGGAAAAAATCACAGCGTTATGCATGCTTTTAGCACGACTGGCATGGCCAAATCAATTGGCCGAACTACACTTAAAACTTGGATGGAAGCCCGAAAGGGTTTCCCGCACCGTAATATACACTATTACAATTAATTCACGATAGGTGGAAACATCTACCCATATTTGATGTAGACCGTCTGACACCTCAAAGATTGCATTCCTTCACTTTGGCAATACAGAGCCGCGGGGCACCTTTGGGTACTTGTTTTGCTTTTGTTGACGGGACTATTCGAAAGATAGCAAGACCAAAATATGGACAAGAGTCTCTATATAATGGTTGGACTCGGAAACGATGTCATAGCTTGAAATATCAAGCAATTGTCACACCAGATCGTATTATTATTCATTTCTACGGTCCTGTAGAGGGTACAAAACACGACGCTGCTATCTGGCAAGAGAGTGGGATGGCCGACATTTTAGAGAGACATGGACATGCACCTGACGGGACTGGCCTGCAAATCTATGGTGATCTAGCATATGGCCTCAACGAGTACATGATTTCACCATTCTAAGGAGCTGCAATTACGAGAGATGAACAGCTTTGGAATAAATCAATGTCTAAAGTTCGGATCATTGTCGAATGCTGTTTCAAAGAGGTGCTGCAACTATTTACAGCTTTTGACTTTCCTCGTACAGAAAAGGTACTCTTGTCCCCTATTGGGCTCCAATATCCCGTAGTAGTTTTGCTTCATAATGCACATGTCTGCCTCTATCGACTTCAAATACCACAGTTTTTCTCCAACCTTCAAGAAGACATAAACCTCCTCGAGCCTCCAACATTAGAGGAGTACTTTCACTGACCTCTCGACCCACCCATACCTTGAATGATTACATTCATAAGCTTCTGCATACTCTCATTCGTCGAGCGTGTACTGTCAATCAGAACATCTAAGTTCTCACGCAAGTCCCGATCCCTATCAGCCTGCTCACGCTCTCTTGCTGCAGTTTCCTCAGCTGCGATCCGCTCTCTCTCTGCTTTCTTAGGCTCCTGTATCGTGATCCTAAAATCCTCTGCCTTCTCACGAAGACCACTTATAACCCCTTCTACTTCCTTCGCGAACAGATTTTTTGAAGAGCGTACTACTTTTTGAGCGGCCTCTGAGCTGCTTTCCCTGTCGCTATCGGTCTCTTTTCCTCACCAACCCTGTCTGAGAAGACTGGCCTACCTGTGCACCTTTTGCTTTTCTTTCCGCAATTTTTCCCTTCGTATCCTGTTTTATTAGATTATTATTGGAAACAGAACCACACAAGAGAACAATGTGAATCATGTTTCGAAGGTGCTCGTTGACTTCCTCAACCTCCCCTGTTTTTTGGCGAGAGCGAGTCTCTTCACTCCTCTGCCATTTAACCAGCCGCTCCATACGGTTCTTGCAGGAAATCCAAGAGCGAGTAATTCCCACTTGCATCAAATTATCCGCAACCCGCTGCCACCTATCCTCCCTTTTTCCAACCTTGTTGAGAATAGGGTCATTGGCCGGAACCTGTTTGGCCAAAGCCCTATCCTCCCCCTGGCATGCCTCCCAAGTGGCACCCCTCTTCTTACTAGGAGTAGAAGAAGCAGTCTCTGGATCCCTACTCGCATCAGGGGCAGAAGTGCCTGACAAAATATCAAACAAATCTATCTGCTACCTCGGTGTTTCGCTCAGGCTATTTCCTTAAGGCGTTTTGCCGTTTCCTTTCGCCGTTCCGTTTCGCCGTTCCGTTTGGCTGTTCCAAGACACAACTATTCAATAATAAGAGATTGTAGTTTCTATAAGGTAGATTAATATACCAATCTAGAAACAGTTGTCTGTTTCGGTGTTTCGTTTCGTTCAGCCGTCTCTTTTCATTCCGCTGTTCCAGTGTTCTGCAGTTTCGCTGTTTTGCTGTTTCGTTTGGGTAGTATAGTTCTATTAAACAGTTAGCTATGTAGTCTAGAGAGTGAACAGAACACATACCTGGTTGATAGTTGTGAGTGATGGTTGACGATAGCTGATGGTTGATGGTGAACAGGTCGACCATGACATCACGCAATTTAGTGGTACCAACTTGAAATGCAAAGTGAAAAGCACTTCCGGACCTCGCACCCTGGTTCCTGGCATTTGGGGGGCAGACCTTGCGAACGCAAAGTGTCTCTTATATACTTGACAAAATAGTAGGGAAAAGAGTTTGGGGTAGAAGTGGGTGTGTGGGGACCGCTTCTCCTAGTGGTTCCTAACCCTAACCCTAACCCTAACCCGGCCCTGGCCCTGACCCTGAACCCGCATCTTTAGATGCTGCAGCGCAACGGAGTTTCTCACCACGCTACTCGGGGAGCTAGGAGAGTACATGGTTCGCCCTTGGCAACCGCCGGAATAATAAACTGAGATTTTGTGGTATACCTATCCGGCTGGCAGCCTTGCGAGTGAGTGCCTAGGAGTAACCCGGCTAATGACGTCTATCAATGGAGGTCGTAGCGTCTTTACGCAAACAGAGCCAGCTCTGGAATGTTTGTGCCAGGCACCGTTGATAGTATATATTGTAACAGGGGTGTGGGTATTTCATACCCTTACCGGGTTCTGATCACTTGGCTCCCTATGTAATAATATCGGCTGTATGGCATAATGTACGTAGGCTCGTATGTACCCAGTCCTCCTACCAAAAGGGTTGGAGCGTTATCGTTCCGACTTTTGGTGAGATCTTTTCGCGGAGGTATTTGGAGCTCCCCAAAGCCAAAAAGGTTGCTGTCGGGGGCTGTCGGAGCGGAGTTTACATGAAAATTAAGTTAGTTTTTTTTTCTTTTTCTTTTTTAGCTTCAGCGGTGGTCTCTCAGCCCCCCACGGGCTTCATTGGACTCTCTAACACGGGAACTAACATGGTTTAGCCCCCTCGGGACTCATTTAACCCTCCGGTGCAGTAGCCAAGTTTTTTTTTTAGCCTCCCCGGGCTTCATTTGGGTCACCGACATAGTAAACTGAGCTACTACATGTATAGTTCCTGGACGTAAATCATCGTTGCGAAGCAAAACCACACCCAAAAAAGCCATTTTCGGATTGGCCCAGAATCCACCGTTTTAAGATATAGATTATACCAATCAGTAAAGGATAACTTAATAGTAAGGAGAACCATCTAGCAGTATTAAATTCCAAAAATAATCATTGTAGTGTGGATAGTAGAGTATTTTGTTCTGTTGTTCTCAGAAAACGTGCCAAGACCTCGAATCTGGATGGGGTCTTGGCCAAATCCCAAGATTTGTGAATTCAAAGCCATATAACTCCCCAAATATTTGATAAAAAGAAATGTAGCTCAGGATATATGTTCTTCTAAAGTGTATCTTGCTATCCTGAAAGTTTCGTGGTGTTTAGATAACAATTGAACCTAGGGAGGTGGCCAGTTTTAGGCAGTTTTGGTGTGTTTTGGCGCGAAAACGATGATTTACGTCCACGCGCTGTAGTTATATACAGATAGTGATACTTGGCCCGAGATGGTAGGGGTTTGCCGGGATGCATCTCTCTCTCTTGCTGTTCTGTGAGATCTCTTACTAGCTGCGCATTGAATAGTCTAGCAAAAGCAAAAAATTTAGTAGTTAGTTATCGCCCAAATTTGGGTTTTACAGTTATTTCTTAAAATTCCCAAACCACAAACTGAGAAAATTAATTAAGAGCGCAGAGTGATAGATAAACTCATGAGGTTATACGAGGAAAAATCACAGTCATCTGTAAATATGCTCTTGGGCTAAAAAAAAAAAAAAAGAATTGTGACAAATTGTCGAGTGATATTTTATGATAAAGGTTTCTTGGAACCCCGGACGCAATTTCGACTTCCTGTGTAGAGTAACAAGACGTTCATTCAAGTTAATAATGCGGTACTAAGTACAATTTTGAAAAGATCAATTATCAGACGGGGGGTGACAAGATTGATGGTCTTGATTATCCTTCCTTACCACCCTTATGATCCCCAGTGTGGAGATTAGAAGCTTTTGGTCAGCCTCAACTTTTATTTCTCATTCTTTTAAATCTCCGTCGAGTCCTGCGAACCAGGATAGCCTGTAGACGATTTAGTATTCAACCGGAATATAGTGAGAAAACAATGGGCTACCAGTTTGCGCTGTGGTCAATCTCTGCCAAACATGTCCTCCACCATTGGGGGTGCGGGTTGGTGGGGCTCGTAGGCGCAAGTTGTAGCTGGTGGGCCGGCTGACTGGGTAGTTAGATTAAAGCCGGTGAGTGCGGGCTGGTAGGGTGTGTGGGCACGAGCTGATTGTGAAGGCAACATTACCAACAAGGCAATCGAGTGATAATCCATGATTCTCTGGATTTATCCTGCATGTGGTAGATTTAGTAGGCCGCTGAAAGATAGCGGTTGGTATCGCGATGTTGGTAGTTTATTGTTGGTGCGAGTGCCCGCGGCTAGCGGTGGTGCTGGTTAGCGTTCGCTGGTGATGATTGGTGGGGCGGGTGCTGGTGGGCGCTTATTGGAGCTCGGGGGTGCAGGGTCTTGCGTGTGGGTGCAGGTAGTACTGTAGCTGGTAGGCGAGGGCTGGTTATATATGTCGTAGGCGCAGGTAGTTGTGGGCCTTGTAGGGGCAAGGGGATAGTGCTCGAAGGGGCAAGATGATGTTTTAGCTCGTAGGCGTAGGCGGCAGGGGGGGTTGTGGTGCGGCCTGTGTGGGCGGGCAGGTCTATATAGCTAGTTCGGGGGCGCAAGGTGCTGGTTAACACAGGTTCATGTTCCTAATACGCGGAAATTGGTGGTGGTGTGGCGAATGGGCGTAAGGATTCGCTTGGGGACGAAGGCTCGTGGAGCGTGTGGGCGCGAGCTGCTATAGCTTCTGGGTGCAAGGTGCTAGAGCTCGTAGGCACGAGCTGGTGCTGGGATCGAGCTGTACGTTGTGGTTTCGAGCAGGAGGTCGTGGGCGCGAGGTGGTGCTGGTGGTGCTCGTGGGTGCAGTATCAAGGTAGAGAGACAGTAAACGTTTTTCTCGCTCCCGGTCATAAAATGTCACTCCCAGTTACACCCCAAATATCTCCACCTAACCCGACGTCATACCACCTCTAAATGTCCACCTAACCCCGATCTCATACAAAAAAAACCTGGTATAATATGCTTACTGGATTATATCGAGCGGGGTGGACGCGTTTTAGTGCTATTGAAAGCAGCAATACTACAAGACTACTATTGCTCTAATCTAACTCTGTTTCACTAAATTGTATCTAATGTAGGAATATCTGACATATAGAAATCTCCTTATCACACCAACCCTTACACAGCCGCGTCTGGAATTTTCAATATTTCTCCCGACGAATCATTCATAGCGGCACCCCAAGCACTGCCATAATAACCCCTCTTGATATTGGTATCGGCCTCCGCTGTTAACAAAATATTGACTTTGTCTTCACGGTGATCGGAAAGAGAGAGCAATCCGCAGCTTAGAGAGCGGCACCAAAGCGCCCCCCACTGAAGATTAACATCGGCGCCAGCCTCCAACAGAATCTTGACTATCTCACCCTCGCCCCCGAGAGCTGCAGCTTGAAGAGCGGTACCAGATCCCCCCCCCTGAAGATTAACATCGGCGCCAGCCTCCAACAGAATCTTGACTATCTCAGCCTTGCCCCAGAAGGCTACAGCTTGAAGAGCGGTACCATATCGCCCCCCCTGAAGATTAACATCGACGCCAGCCTCCAACAGAATCTTGACTATCTCAGCCTCGCCCCGGATAGCTGCAGCATGAAGAGCGGTACCATATTCCCCCCACTGAAGATTAACATCGGCGCCAGCCTCCAACAGAATCTTGACTATCTCAGCCTCGCCCTGGAAAGCTGCAGCTTGAAGAGCGGTACCATATTCCTCCCCCTGAAGATTAACATCGGCGTAGTGTGCTGAACTGGAATCGGCATGAGCGTCCAAAAGGGTTTGGACTACTGCTGCATGACCGGCACGCGTCGCGTGGTTGAGAGCGTCCAGACCGTTCACCTTGAAACCAATGTCCGCACCACGCTCGAGAAGGATCTTCGCTGCATCAACCATGCCATTTTTACAGGAATAATACAAGGCAGACTCCCCCCCTCTGCCCAACGAATGTACATCCGCTCCCCTAGCAACCAAAAACAAAACTACTCGCTCACACCCAAAAGACGCTGCAGTCATCAGGGGAGTGTTTCCATGCGAGTCGCGAGAATCAATATCACAGCCGCGGTCCAGCAACTCCTTCATCGCAGACACCGACCCACCACGGGCCACGTCATTGATCACGCCATTGAGCTCCTCCGCAACGTCCCCATCCGGGTATAGCTGGAAGTATAGAAGTAGCAAATCAAGACCCGATAACAGACCTAGTGGGCTAAGGGAACACTCGCATGCAGTACTAGTGTATATGAGCCGTCCCACCCGGTCACGCACACATATATAATCATCAGGACCACTATCACAATGTCCAAAACAGCCACAAGAATCATAAGGATCATCAGGCATCGCCCTTTCTGGATTCCCACATGTTGCAAGGATGACCCATCGAAGAACATCGTAATCATCCTCCATTAAGGATCGGACCAGGCTGAGGAGACAGTCTGGTAGTGGACTCTCTGCCTCGCGCAGATGTAACCCGAGAAAGGTACATGCATATTGGAAAAGGTCTAGTCCCAAGACACACGCGGAGCGTATAGACCGTCCCAGATAGGTCTCACACTGCTCCATGACGCATAAGGAGCGCAAGTATACAAGTATACTCTGGGTCACAAAAACTCTCGTGCTCATACCTTCAAAATGCTCGAGACCCTTGGCGTTCAAAAACTCTTGCACGGTAAAATGGATTGGTCTTACTGTCCCATAATCATTGGTGACTAGCCCACAGCACGAAGAGAGAACAATACTTTGTGAATACACCCCATGCAGCTCTTTACAGCACTGTGTAGTAGGTTCCAGAGCTACCGCGAGTACCAACTCTTCTATTGTTAATGGTCTCTTTGCGGTAATGACCCAGGCCAAAGCACGGTGCGCTAGCTTTCTTCTGGCCTCGGTCTGCTCATTTATTCTTTTCAAGATCCGATCGTAGGTATCATGCATCGTAGTGGGAAGGGAGTCTAGCGCATCGCGTATATCCTTCACTGATGGTTGCTGATAGATAAAGTCAAGCTGACATTTCACCCATAAGAACCTACAGGTCCATAGTCCATTTAGTATTGTTGCTGGTCCAGTACAGTATTCCAGGGCCAATGGCGAGCCAGGTTGGACGGCGAATGGGCAACTCGAAGCCAAAAAAGCTGGGAAGTCGCCATTCGTCATCGAGTCGGGCTCGCCATTGACCATGCAGGGACAGTACTTCGAAGAAGATGAAATAATTCAAAAAGGATTAAATCCTTACATTCCATTCGCTTGTTGTATCAGCGTAGCTCGAATTGCTGTCTTTAATGATTTGCTAATAGCGCAGTAGTCTTGGTTTCGGCTTTCCAACTCGTGGTCGACATACACTGCGATATCCTCATCTACCTTTGTCACCTGTATAGGGAGGACCGCAAACTTAGCAGACAGGATATTACGTTCAATATCCACTTCCCGTCGACTAGCGATAAAGATCTTGCAGGAGCCCCGGCACGAAACCTGCCCAAGATAATTTACGAGGTCGTTCCTGCTCTCTTTACTGCATTCGTCTAGCGCGTCGATAACCAAAAACACTTGTTTGAAGTAGTTGACCACTTTTTGGAAGAGATCCTTAAGTTGGCAATGTTTTGGTTTAACATCATTGTCGATACAGGCTTTATAGAGGGCACACAATGAATTCGGAAGTTCATCCATTCGGCGGCACAGTTGCTTGATCCATATACTGAGAACATCCTGCGGCCTGACCGTGATCTGGAAATTGAAGTAAAAATATGCTATTCCAATAGCTTTATCGTGTTCGTAATCTGTCTGAATACTCTCTAGAAGAGCGGATCTGATTTATATATATCGTTAGCAGAGTTCGCAGGTAGAGGGGAGGTGTAGGACGAGGTTGAGGTGGAGGTTGAGGGTGAAGAGGGGGGAGGGGAGGGGCAGGGCAGGTGGAGGTGGAGGGGGCTTTGTTGAACCAACGTTAGGACCGATTTTCCTACACCGGCTAGAATCTTGTTAGCAACCAAACAATGTTAGGATAACCAAGTGTCACTAACGGTTACCGTAGCACCATAGAAGAGAGACCTCTAGTTTCCCCAACCATTCTCGTACCTCTGTTGAACGCAGAAACCACTGTCCTGTATTCCCATGTCTCTTGCCATATATACGCTCATGATCGTCTTCCGGCGCAAGCGTTGAAAGCCAGGCCAATATCTCTCTGCGGCTAATACCGGAGGTATTCTCGGAGGCCTTATGTTCCATGCCACGGCGTTTGGAGTGGTTCAAATCAATTTCCTCTTCAGGGCGCTTGCGTAGTACTTGCATTGGGTCGTCGTATTGAACTAGAGTAGCGTATCCGGGGTGAATGTTCCCAATATCGATTTTGGCACCATGACGTGATAACAGCTTAAGCATACGGATATCATTCGTAGAGACTGCCCTCCCCTCGATATCCTTCGCGTTTGGATCAGCACGTCCGAGTGTTAGGAGGACTGATACGAGCTGGTGTTCGTTCTTCGAAATGGCAAGTCGGAGCTTTGTGTTCATCTCAGCCAGGTCTTTGCCGCTAGCTTGCTCTAGTGGGGTTTGGGTTTGTAAATAGTTGACAATAACCATCAAGCGCGGAGGAGAGACATACCAATATAACTTAATAAAACTCTAAGTCGCTCGCAAAGGGTGGTATAAGCATGGTTTGATTGGTTATCAAACTTGACAAGAGACGAGTGGTCCCCTTCAGCACTTTGTACATCCTCGAGATGCGATGGAAGGTTCAGGATCGAAGACTTCCTCTCAACAACTGTATAGTATTCGCCAGTTCTCGCCCACTTGCCAGTGACCGAATTCTGACCGGGTAAATTTCGTCCACTTAGCCTTCAGGGTCTATGACAGTCCTGATAGAGACCTACCTTCTCTGCTTTCCTTGTTTCCATCGTCTCCTGAAAGCTCACTACTCCAAAGTGTTCCTCTTCAGCATAACTGTTAAAGGACAGGAGATGCTCTGCGTCTTGTCCCCTTTCGATAGTGTGAACCAGGTCCAGACGCGGGGATCCCTCCCCAACCATTTCCACTATATCGTCAAAAAGAAGGCCTCTATGTGGTGTGGCAAAGAAGACGATTGCCTTAGTCATTTTAAAAAGGTTTCCTCTGCGATTCTCTTTGTCCCTGACAATAGCCTTTTCACTACAGTCAGCTTATATTGATATGCAGTACATCCCGGGCGTGCATCAAAGTCTGCTAACTTCCCCAATGCCAGGGGTCTTATGTACTTACATCTGCTATGATGATGCCCCCAAAGCTATGGCCAATAAGCGCTACAGGTCGGTCCTTTTCTCATCAAGTATAGGTCAGCCCCTAGTCACCGTGGGTAGAAGATTTCCCAGACCTCGCATCCCTTCCGAGTCTTATCTATTTCCTCCAGCAGCCCACGACTATAGTCAGAAAGCGTATGAATACCCGGCTCACCCAGCCTTGAGTTATAGCCGTATATCATTGTCCTACACTCTGGTCTATCCCTTTCAAAGAAATGGCGCAGCCACATCTTCTTCCGCCCGTCACTATTGGCCTCTCCAGCCCATGAACCATACGCGTGTCCATTGAGACCAGATATCGCAATAACACTAACCACTTGATTAGTGTCTGTGTGTATTTCAAAGAAGTCGCAATCTCACAGCGTTTGTGAACACGACCACTATTGCATGCCATATAAAAGGTTGTCTTGACGACTTTTTTGGCTGTATGTAATAGCTGTCGTGTTCACAACGCTGTGGGATTACGGGTAGCCATGCCAAAAAGAATATATATATACTCAAGTTCAATATTCTTGCTCGGTGTATAGAGTTGGGTTAGTCCATAGAAGTTCTTATCGATAAGAATATCCAAATATTGAGACGAGATATCAAGGCTGTATGTCGTGCCAAACCTCAACGCGTCGAGTGGGGGAGGAGGTCTCGGGCTAAAGTGAATGATCGCGGTCTGTATCCTTGGGTCGTAACAACACTGGAATAGTGAGCTCCGTTTCCGGTCTATGGTGATGCCTCTCTCGTTGGGGAACTTCTCTAGAAAAAGCTGGATGAGGCTGTCGAGTGTGTAATTTAGCGGTATCTGCCTCACACGGAAGCACTCGTCTGGCATTATTTTAGCCGTGATCTTCGGTTAGTTGAGCTTGCGGCGATTGTATGTATCCCAAGTTCAAACAGGTGGTGGTTTCTTAACAGACAAGATCTCGCTCCTGTGCGGGGTTGCGCACATATCAGCCTTCGGCTGAGGCTTGAATTATGGCTACCAATGAGATTGAAACTTAATGAACACCAGTTAGCTGGTTGCACGTTGTCGCAATCGGTAAACTGTGCCTGGCCTGAGCGCAAACAACGAGTTGTATCGCCGCTCCCTTGACCCCGGTCTCTCATTCTAGTACTATGTAAGGTCAATTCTCGAATAATCTATTACCCCCGTGCTTGTATAATGGATATGTGGTAAGTCCAAGGCGAATTGGCGTACCAAACTCTACGGATTCGTGCAGATACACACTTTTATTAAGCGGGTATAGTGGATTTCTCGAGAATTAACGAGGAGGCTGCGTGAGGTTACGAGCCTTGGCGCCAAGAGCGTTTGGCTGGGCACGAGACAGATATCCCTTCGTCTGGCAATGCCGCCCACCCTATCCCATAATCCGGTGCTTAGATGTTGTCTATTTGATAGAATATTATAATTACTAAAAGAGTAAGGGTGGTAGTCGAATATGTGTGTGATCCAGACACAAGCCACAGCTGAAAATACGCCGCCCGAATCAATAGGCAGCTTTAACGGACTATGGGATAACACAAGAATTAGATTTGTGTGGGAGATCTATTATTTGATAAGAGAGATAACGGGATCTGTTTGTAAAGCCACACATAAATTTTTTTTTTTTTGGTGGGCAGCATTTTTTGCGAAGGGATAGCTACCGCCATATCTCGAAAAATTGGCTAGCTTCCAGAGATCAAGATTACTTGTATGGGAGACTACTGATGCAGATCGATGCCATTCAACCAATCGCTCGAGCGATAATCCCTGGCCGGAGATAGCCAATTTTTCGAGTTTTGGCGGTATATCACCTATATCACAATTCAGAGCCTGATATCACATTTCAGAGGCCAACAAGAGTGTCAGCCGATATTTGTCGGGAGGATATAGCACCAGACCGTACTGTGGCAGCTTCCTGAAAGTAACGGGCTGGGTACGAGACTAAGTTGCTTCAGGAGTAACGACCGCAAACGACGAAACAGCGGATCTCATTATACCACCTGAGCGCTAGTGTTTGACCCTCCTACATCCCACGTCCCCGTCCCTCCACCAGCCCGCCTCAAGGCTGGCTGTAGAGGAAAATTCCTCTGCTGATGAAAGCGAGCTACTTACATGGCGACAATGGGAAACTTTCTGGTTGGTGAGATCTTTTGGAGCTGTTGTGGGGTGGAGATAAACCTTAGTTCCCAGTCAGGGTATTAAAATCATGTCCCGTTTCCTTCCCGGAATATTTCGGAGAGATATACTCCCAGGCCCTACAACAGTAAGCCATCCGTAGAGGATGGGTGCGAGACTAGCTAACTTTGATAATGTGAGGGAATGATGATTGAAGCGAGCGAGATTTAAACAATCCAGAGTGATAAGAGCTATAGACGAAAAAGTATGAAGTGATAAGAAGATGAAGTTGACAAGTATCTGCGGTGCCTGGGTCGAGTTGCAGCCCTCACGTATAGACATAACGTGCAGCAGAGCCTCAACAGAGCATGAGGATTAAGAACTAATGCCCTTGCATCGCCTCGCTCGCACCTTTTAAATCTTTCGTACATGCGGGGGGAGGTGTTCCTTATTTATACTTTAATAGCGGAGGCCACTTCACTAAATAGCGAAGAGTTTAAATTTAGTTTACGGGCTGTGGTTTAATTAAATAATTCTGTAGTTTAGTTAAGTACCTGTTTTTTGATTACTGTAAGCGTGGTTGTGGTTGCTTGTGTAACGACACTCTGGACGAACAGTCAAAATCAACATTATCATCCTCCAGATCTTATCAGATGCACTTTAGGCGCCTTCTCCTACCCCCCTCAACGCCATAAACCAAACACCACAACACATACTCTATTTCGTGACTCCCCTCCCTCGTGACCACCATATTTCTTTCTTACCTACCTATCCGATCTATTCCCTTGTATATATCTACTAAATTCTAATCGTACCTACTAAATACTAACCCCATCTCACACGTGTCAACACTAGGACTACCCTCGCCCCCACCCCCGCTCCCGCTCTACAATCCACTGCCAACACTCCCCCTTCCATCATCTACCTCCTCCGCTCCAGCGACGCGGTGGCTATTCGGCAAGCTCATCACTCATGCATGAAGGCTCTTACCACCCTCGCAAAAGGCAGCTGGGAACACGACTGACGAGGAGCGGGCAAAGGCTGCGGATCGATATGCTTGTCATGATGCGCTGCTCCTCCTCTCCTTTCTCTTTTTTTCTCCTCTTGCCCTGCCCCCCCTCCCCCCCCCCAAACTTCAACCCTTGATCTGGCTCGCGGCGAGTGATCACCGTCGAAATAGCGCACAATATGCGCCGTTGCTCGTTGGGGCTGTGTGTGTTGGCTTGACGATGGAGTACGCTTTGCTGTGGCTGGGTTTGCCGGTGCGGAGCGATGGGGCGGGTAGTGTGCTTCTTCACTCATCTTCTTGTACCCCCTCTATCTTGCTCGTCCTTTCCCCCACCTTTTCCTCCCCCTTCCCGCCTTTCTTTTTTTGTCCTGATATCCCCATCGGTTGTGGCCTCGGGTCGTTGGGGCCGGCTCCATTACGGTCTTTTTTTCTCCTACTTTTACGTCGGCTATAAGTAAGGGGTAGTTATTTGACGTGGGAATTCTTTTCTTCTTTCACATTCAGTTAATTCAATCCGCAGACAGAATTTGCGAGAATGATACTTCCTTTTCTTACTGTTCACTGTCTATTTAACTTATATTTGTGAACCGCTAGGAGAATTTAACCAACACCTTTACCTCATCGATCAACTGCTCAGTAAAACCCAACCCGCCGATCCTAGCTTCCAACCATACCCCCACAAACGCCTCATCGCCCACCCTCCACACCCCCTCCATGCGCAAAAAGTCAAAGAAACTCAAAAAGACCGCCACTACACACGCCCGTCCAATGGTGTTGTCGTCTTGTGCATGATGGAGATCATCGTTTTCTTCCGCGTACCCTGGGTCGACATGCATCTCATGCTCATCCAAAGTTTCATCTGGGTCACCACGGACTCCATCCAAGTGTTCCCCCACGACACCACCCATCTCATCTAAATGTTCCTCTCGTTCGTCATGAACAGCTGCATCCAGGTTTGGGGATGAAGATCGAGATGGGGAATCTTGGAACAGCTCGCGCAGGCGATCCTGTTCCAGCGCAGCTCCGTGTCGCTCCCATTCGGCTCGTCTGGTGACTGGTTGAGGGCACGCATCGAGTAAAGAGCAATAGCATTCGCGATAGAATCCAGACATTGGGAGCGCGATATTAATTTTGATATCATATGGTGCTTGCACTCAGGCGGTGATGTATCCTGCACGTTCGCACAGCGCAGGTACACCTGTGTATGAATTGCGAAATTGGAGACAGAGGATGTAACCGAGAAATTTCTGATTGGTTCAACGGATGCGGTTGGTTGCTCTTTTTCTTCTTCGGGGTTGGTTCGGTGGTGTCTGCCTTAGATGCATACTTAGAGACTCTTGTCTTTGTGCATCTGGGCTCATCTGCGGTATCTTGTGCCGTGATTTGTAAGTATATATTGAACATCTATAATAATCATTTTAGAATGAAACATACCATAACGTTTGTCATTTTCGCGGACGAGATCCGATTTCCCATTCTTGGACTTATTCTCACGTGACAATTTATCTTAACGTACTAATGTGGCCCATTTCTCTTCAATTTCTGTATCTCTCCGATTTTGGGACCTGTTACAATCCCAACAGAGTATCCGGATTTGAATGACTCCAATCCCAGTCCCATTCTTCCGGAATTGTAGTGTAGACTCGATATATCTGATAGTGACTTTATTGAATCACAAACACCCATCCGCTCATTCAGTCACTTCCGGAACTCCGCCAAGTCCTGCACTTCACCTACTTCTTGGGACCAAGCTTCAATCTTGGACGAGGGAATGGGACTGCGAATCATCAGTATCACCATCTTCATCGCCCACACTATTTTCGTTCCCACTATCATCTTCATTGATATCATTTTCCTGGAGTGTTCGTTTTTATTGAGGGGTTGTAACCGGCCTCTTGCGAGGGGCATGCTGTATATACAACCGGAGACTCTTAATCTCCATTTGAGCCCGGAACCGCGACCGTTATGCTTTGATCTATTGCAGTTGGTACCAGCTGCCTCGGGATCCGGGAGTCTGCGGTTTTGACGAGGTCTTTTCTTCTCATCATCGGATTGGACTTGGGCTACATATAGCTCGTTTTTTGTCCAGGCTTCGATCGATGGGTGAGTATGGTCGGCGCAGCGTATCTGCTGTCTGCTTCGATCGATTCTTGCTGCTAACTCAGCTGTCTGCTTCGGTGCCTGTCTTGACGCCTTTTCGGGGGTGCCTCGGCCGATGGCGGGGACCCGGGATTCGACCCGGCCTTGTAGTGGCTGAGATTCTGAGGATATTTTATGGTTAGGATATTAGTGCGTATCGCCAAATGGAGACGGATCGTTCGAAGGATTGGGATGTACCGTACTTGCAGACCGGATTATAGGCCTTTTTTTTGTGGTCTGTGGCCCGGGTTAGACTTGGCCGATCCCTACTTAAAAAACTCCAAAAACAGGTTCTTAAGCAGGATTGTCGTACGATAGCTTTTGCATAACACCCCGAAGCCCTCCTTGTCGCACCACTACAGAATCAACTATTGAACTCATTATTCATGATCGATTATTGTACGTCATAAAAAAAGTATAGCACTAGCGTAACCTATCGCTCATCGACCGACAGCTTACCTAACCTGACCATTGATCGGTTTTCATGTTTGAACTTGAATCACGTTGTGTTTGTCATAAAAAAAAAAGAAAAAGACGTTCTGTTTGTCGTCACGAATCGAGTGACAGTCTGTGAGTAGTTGAGACTGCTCTAGTGGGGGGTCGACGAGCCGGATCGAGTCGACTTTGAGGATTGGCTCGATCGAGGAGCTCTTTGATTTATGAGGCCTGCTCTGCTCGACTCGTAACCCCTCCTGCCAGTCCTTGCTCGAGTACAACGCTCAGAGCCGTGAACTCGATCGAGTGGGCTCGACCCGTCGACCACACGAGTTGAGACTGCCACTGGTATTCACATTGCGCGCACGCCGACCATGCCCATGCCCCCCACCTAACGCCGCACCGGGTGTGCCGCATGAGCTACACGACCTCAAAGAGGCCACCCCACCGCCCTCCTTCACCCTTGACACAATCTGTGACGCTTTACCATCCCGCCCTATAATTAATTCTGTATATGTGATCACACGAGATCACTCGCGCCAAGAACCACGACCCCTCCCCCCCCAAAGGCCACGCCCGCCAACCCTGCCAGCAAGTTCACTGTCTACATGTACTGTACTACCGCATGTACTAGCTGTAACTAAGTCCTTTTACGTGCGCACGCACTAAGCCGCCCGGGGAAGCCATGCTGCGGCGCCTGTTCTGGTACGGCAAGCTAGCGGTCGCAGGAGTCGGCGGCACTAATAGGTCTCAGTTATGGCAGGCCGAGCTTCTGTAAAGTCGAACTAGCTGCCATGGGAGCTGAAGTAGCGACCGAGGTAGAAGAAGCAGCAGAAGCAGAGGAAGGGGCAGGGGAAGGGCGTCGACCAAGAGAGCCCCGACGTACGCAGCAGATATCAAGGTCGAGCTCGATCGAGGACACAGAAGAATACAAAGTAGAGACTACAGCTAGCACCTCCAACGACACAGAAGGCAATATCAAAATCGACAAAGATGAAGGCGGCTACCCGAGACTTGTCGATCGGGCCACCTGGGCGACGACGGCGGAGGAGGAGGAATATGTAGAAGGCATGAGCTTAATTAATTGCAAGAGGAAGACGCCGCAGAGCTAGCCCCGCATCTCGATCGAGCGGACCGCCTGGCCGCTGAGCGGGAAGAGAAGCGGCTATATACAGAAGATCAGTTTCGACGATGCGCACCTCCGCGACTGTGTCTCTGACCCATGAAAGGAGGACTACAACGGCGGGTCTCTGCTGCAAATCCGACCCCAACCCCCAGCCCAACGTGCGATGCCCTCAAGAGGCATCCCTGCCCTTCCAACGCTAGCGCCAGCACCGCCCGCCCCCCCTCCCCCGGGGCCGCACCACGCCCGCATCCCCCGGAGGCTTTCCCGGCCTCACCTCCTCCCGCACACCCTTCGAGCGCGTCACGGGCTTCTTCATGCACGCATTCCACACCCCGGCCGCCCTTAGCCGTCCGCGACCGACACCTCCTCTTGCAGGTCAGGGTGCGATCGATGGTGGTAGTAGATCATCAGGCTTGAAACGAAAAGAAAAACGAACTCAAGAGAGGATTTAATCCAGGAGCACCCATCGCGCTAGATTAGCAATTAGAGACCAAGCGCATTCAGTAAGGATGAAAAAGAGATTTGCTGGTCAGGGAATTTATGGTGAAGAACGAAGACAACCGGCATAAGAAGAGTATACTAGTATGTATAATGAAAATTGAATTGGCGATGAAGTAGTGCTCTCACTCCCCAGAACTAGATACACAGGGGCAAAAGCAGGGCATTCTGGCGATTTGAAATAGTGCGCATGACGTATATATTGCTGCTTGGATAATCATTTGAGAGAAAACTGTATGTTCTTACTAATCTCGAGACTGGGACCGAGGATAGTGATTACGCGCTTCTTCCTGTATTAATGGTTCTATTATTCACTGAGGCGTTCAACAATCTTGTTCTTTGACGCGTTTCATTGGCATTCAAAGGTACTTCATTCAATCCAGACAAGCATTACATCCTTATTACATATACAGCAGCTACCAACCTCAGGAATGCATTCACATATTCAAACTAACCCTGCAACGGGTCAGGCCTTCGCTTTGATCAGTTAACAACTGGTAGAAGTCTCTTCTACCCAATTTTTCCTCTCCGGGGGTAGTCTTTATTGACTCTTGTAAGCGTCTGGATATGCCCGTGCTCGACAACACTAATCTCCATGTCGTGGTGGCGGGGATGCCCTCGTGGCGGTGGCCTTGGGACGTGGGCGTGTTGCGTCGAGATCGATTTGCCTCTCCGGGTAGGTTAGCTGGCGAGGAAATGTATAAAGGTGTTCGGGGGGTTGCAGAGGTACCGGCTCAAGTGCACTCCCGGAAACCTAATCATGCATGGTGCATGAACCGCCATACGTTCGCCATGTTGATTGATTGATTGATACTCGGACGTCGGGGTGCTGCAGGTCCACCGCCCACGAGTGCGCGTAGAGCATGTCCACGCAGTCCTTCCTGCCGTTTCTGCGAATTGTGGAGCGAGACATGGGAAGATGTGAAGCGCGGGACGGGAGGCTAGGTGGGTGCGGGGCAGCGGTCTTGTTAGCGGTTGATTTGGCTTTTTGCGGCGTTTGTTTGTGGGTGGTGCGGGGTGGGGATCGTGTTAGGGTCGGGGTAGTTGGTGGGGGAGGTGATGTTGCGAGGGAGTGTCTAGCGAATCTGGATGGGTGCGGTGGAGTGCGGGGAGGAGGAGGTTTGACAACGCCTGAAAAGCATCCGATAAGATCCCCGCGATAACGTTGCCAACCCAAGACTGTAACCGGGATACGCGAAAGAATGGAGGCAAAACGACCAGGATCTTTGCATGGAAAGACCTAACCCTGGATTTTAGTGAGTTGAGGAAATATGATCTGCAGAATTACGCTGAGAGAAGGACGAGCCCCGTCTGTTTGGCTTGTGCATACAATCCCCGGTCATTTTGCCTCGATACCCATTTTTCAACCTTCGAGCGAGTGTGATCCCTCTCAACCTCCTTTGCTTGTGGCCATCGGTGACCCGCCAACGCCGGAACCCGATATGCGAAAGAGATATATTCGTTTTTATTGGTTGGACCGGATATCCGTCCTACACGATCTACAGCACGTGGGAGGGTGTTTACCAAGCGTCGATGACGATATAGCTAAGCGCTGATGAATCTATTGTAATGATTAGATGGCTAGAGGAAGCGGATATACCCGCCCGTAATTCGTGTCTCCAGCTTGTGCTATGTCTCATTATTAGAATGTCTAGATATGATGTGAATCACATCCGTATATAAGACAGCAACTATATTCAATGTCTATGTCACCATGTCGATGACCACCTGGCGACTCCAAATACGAAAGGTACAGTAACTACCAAAAAGGCGGGGTAGGATCACCTCGGTATTCATTGTAATACGCTCGTAACGCTGTAAAACTATTGGACCAATACAGTATCATATCGTTCTTCCTCCAATGCCGGTCTAATTCAGTATTCGTCACGTTTCGTCATTCTGTAGTATCCCTTAAGATTCATGACTTAGATAATAGTTCTGGAAAGCGACACTTGGTTATGTTCATTTGTCAGTAATTCCCCAGGCGATAGGGGCCTATTAACTCAAGCCACACTCAATGTGAGAATTAATAACAACGGCGTTCGGCATAGCACACCTGTCGGTCAGTGATTACCGAGTGATATATTGTGATGCACAGCACCACCGTACTTCAAACACGACTGATATTGCAAGGTCGAGCTGCAGGTTGACTGCGGAACACATCTGCTTCTTACATGACCTCCAAGGTAACCAGCGATACGTACTCTACATCACCAGGAGGCCTCCGCTGCACTCTTATGCGCATCCAACCATTATAATACTCAGTCAGGGATATTGATGCTAAAACAAGAAATCCAGAGGGACGAGGAGCGAAGACCTGATAGGCGTTTGATATGGTGAATATGATGCAAGGCCTTGCTACTCTTATAACTTATAGTTTAGTTCTACATTATATATGGGAATCCCCCCAAAATTAGACCTAATATACATAATACCCGTTTACCACGAAAAGAACCAGTTGCTCAGGGCAAGGATTATTTGTGTGGTGGCGGTGATCTCTCATACAAATCATTACTGTTTCCGTCACTTGCATTTTCAGGTTCTTATGGAGGAGATCGAGAGCGAGTACTTATCTAGAACAAATACAGCTTGGTCACTAACCCCTCAATGTGCAGATCCGGCGCCCGTCCCGACCGGAATAGCGTCAAGTACTGCACTAAGGGTAAACTATCTCTCGCGAATGGTGCTGTGGCTGCCCCCGCCCATGCTTAACGACCCAACCCCAGAAAATCCCACCATACTCAATCTTCGCTCCCTTACCCATGTCCCCGGCTCCCTAATAATATGTAACCATGGCCTTCCCCACATGAACTCTCAATAGGTATCCCAACACCTACTACCAGACAGACCCCCAGCGGTACTACTCCCCTACACAGAGTAGGATATATCATCCTTTCTTACCTGGCTTTCTGGATGGGATGAGCGTTCAGCTTCAAGTTCACTGTAAATGTGTATATCGGCCGCCGTGGCATCGATAGATCGTAATATTGGTTCTATACGTTACAAGATCCGAACATCAGGCGACATGGCTTAGCAAGGCTGGTAATAATATACGAGACTAGCTAGAGCTGTTTGAGTTTTTTTATGGCGCCCACACACCGCTGCTCTTAATTAAAAGCTGGGAAGGTGTAAAGGGCCGGGGGTTGACGCCAAGGGTCTAATGAACGTGGGATTATATAATCAATGTTGTATGGCTTGCCTGAAGTAGGAGGCTACGTATAATATACATACATACATCACTTCCCACCATTCCACCGTGATACATCAACAATGTCTGAGAGACTCCGCGCTGGTGCCTACATAATCCGCAATAAATACCGGTCCCTCGTGCTTCATGCCCAAATTGCTGAGTTTGGAAAGGAAGAGGGGTCGTCCGTGGTAGTGATGGGCCGGGATGAAAGCGTTTATCGCTATCAGCAGATCTGGTGGATTGAACCTATCCCTTACCAAGAGCATATTAACTCATATATGATCACCAACACTGGCACTGGGCAAGCTCTGGAGATCACCGGAGGAAAGCTTGAGATTAACAAAAATGTTGGTGGGGCGCGGCAGAGATGGTGGATTGAGAGATTCACTGGGGATGACGAAAGGTGACTATTGCTCCTGATATATAGTTGAATCGAAACCTTTTTTTTTAGTATTATTTGATATATTGTACTTCTATACTAGCTGGCCGTAGTTTTGGTCTGATTCGCTGACACTACAATGGCGTATTGCAGAATATACTACAACATAATCAGCATCGGCGATGAACGCATCATGCACATCACCCCCGCGGATGTGGGCTGTGGGAGACCCGCCCTCTGCACCGGTGATGGGGAGTCTGATAGTGACACTCAGAGCTGGGAATTTCTCAAGCCCGTTGTTGCCATTCCTCCTGGCTGGGTTCGCATAATGAATATCTCGACAGGGCACGTTCTTTGCCACGACTACAACACGAGCCCACCTGTTCTTATACCTCCGCCCGCTCAACTGCCCCCTCAATACCGTGAGACATGGGGGACTCAATGGTGCTTTCACAAAATTCTGAATCCTGGCCCCTGGAATGACAAGGCAACTGCGCGTTTAGCATGGGTTGTGAAGAACAGGCTTACGGATGCGGTATTGCACGTTCAAGAGGACAAGTATAATGTCTGGACTGTTCAGGCCTCCGGAAATCAGGAATACAACGAATACCAGTCCTGGAGCCTTGAGTTCGACGAGGACGGGAACTGGATTATTAGAAACGAGGAGATGTTCTGTCTGCTTGAGGAAGGCAGCAAATTGCAAGGACAAATCCCTGGCAACGAACTAATCTGCAAAGATGAGCGCTTTTCCAGGACCGGAGGTAAAAGTTGGCTTATCCGGTACATAGCCTGGCCCTTGAGTGGTTTATAGTGGCAAAGCTAATGATTGTGTCTTGGCCTGTTTTAAAGATCTGTTGTTGAGGTTGATGATGGTAGTCCGGTCGATGCTTGCGGTCCGGTCGACGCCGTACCCGTTCGCACTCCAGCTCCAAATATACAAGTCATGATACTACCCCACAACCATCCCCAGGTAGAGCAGATAAAAGGGGAACTCTACGTCTGGAATAGAAATAATAGCGAACAGCACACACTTGACAGTTGGGCATGGCACTGCCATCGGGAGGATCAGGCAATACTAGTTTTGGGCCAGGGAAAAGAGACGGTAGAAGTAGGGAGGATTAAGCAGAAGACAGGGGTCGTCAAGTTCCGGCGGGAACTATTCTTAGATACGAAATTGAGAATGCAGAGAGCAATTACAATTCTTGGTCGAGGAACGGAAGACGGGGAGAAGGAGATAACTACGATTATATTTGAGTAGTCACTATTTGTTTCTTTACGTTTCTACTTGTTAGGAGAAATACCCTCAGTCAAGCCGGATACTGAGCATTAAAACACACTGGCCAGCTCAGACCCACACTCCGGGGAGTACATACGTGGAAGATGAGAGGTTTAAATAGTGATTGACGGATAGTTTTTTATCTCCAAGGAGCTAGCTGTTGCTGCGGGGTTAGTTCAGGTCATCGAGGACCATCCCTTTTTCTACTCCCATTGTTTTTTTTTGGTTTATACGAGCATTTGTCAGATTTCGTGGTATATCGCCGAACATCGAGCCTGTGTTTGGTGATTATAAGGAACGGTTGCTTTTTACCTATATACAGAGGCGGCTTCGACATATATATTAATCTTTCAAGCAATGGGTATGGAATTGATAGACGAGAACCGACAAGATGCTACTGTGAACGATTAGCAGATATATGTAAGGCCGAATTAATGAAGTAGACCCCGCACTTCTCATCCTAACTTAATCATGGCCTATCCCCAAGTTGCTTGACTTGGTCGCTCCGACTCGCTCGATCCATGTCACTCATAAAAACTGGAGGAAGTGAGAAAATCATCGATAAAGAAACCTCCGGACCCGATAGAGCTTGAAAACAGACCCGGGTTACAGTAAAAAAACGTATATTAAACGACTGGAACTGTCGACTTCTATGATACATTCTCCGCCGCCTTGGAGCCCCCCAGCGCTGACAATCTAGATAACACCGAGCTCTATCGCATCCTTGGCTGCACGGCCATCGGTCCTGTAAATAACCACGCACTAAGCCAACTACCCAATAATTCAAAAGCGAAAGAAATTTTCGAAACCCTTTCGAGTGTTTACAAGTGCTTACAAGAACAAGAAGCTAAGTTTGTCATAGCGGGCAGAATGTGCAGTCAATGCAGCGAATGTTTGCGCGTTTTACTTTTTAAGCACTGAAAGATGGGAAACATCTTTTACATGTTTGCAGGACGCTAGTGAACTTTATCTCGTAATTTATCCCGCGTACGAGACGCGGAATTATAGGCACAAGGCGCGCTGTTATTTTGGTTCATCTAAGATAATAGGACCGAACGCGGTTTCGGTCGGCCTCCAAGCAGGAAAGTCGGCATATTGTTGTCTAGCTGCTCTTGAGCAGAACCGAGGACTTGTGCTGGGATTTATAATTGACTGCAGGAGTACCGAAAACCTTCAAGCGCTGAAGAAAGCGAATCCAGGGCTTTATTACAAACTCAATAATCTACGTAGCAGTCTCGACCTCTCGACCCAAATCCTTGAAGGTGATTCTAGGAATACGACTCTTACTACATAGTGGAGAAGGCTCAGAGAAGAGGCTGATAATTTCAAGCGGAATGGGAGAGAGGATATCGATGAATTTGCAAAGAGAATACTTGCAGATCATTCTGAGCATACCACTCTGACCCCATTAAGGAGAGGCTTCAAACAAGAAGCTAATAAGCAGAAGAGGATGGAGGATGTCGATAAACTTGCAAAGACAATAGACGATATCAGATATCAACCGGGGTTCGAACAGTTCCAGCTCCCACCTTAATACAAATTATTAATTGAAATCGCCAAAGATGGACCGAGATCCGAAGTAATGCAATAATCGTTACATCCTCTGGTATAAGGCCTATTCCACTTCAAAATCTTAAATACGATGTTGCAAAGCGTCGAATTGAACAACTCAACGCCAAAATAATTCATAGAAAATCCTCTAAATCCCGATCAAGGTCTAGGAAGATGGAAAGGTTCCTGTGGGATGTTGCGGTAAAAGATGTCGTTAGAGCGTATTTGACAACTGTCGATTTCGACAATTGACAGTTCGGCTTTGACAGTTGCCGGTCGCAAAATTGACATTTACTTCACGAACTCTGAAATTATTTAGTAGATCTCGACCATTATCACTGGTGACGAGATCGAGACATAAGGCCTTTTGCGCATTGATAGAGTCCAGCTCCAAGTTCCGGCACCCACGTCCCCCGCCCAAAGCCGTACCGGGTACGTCGCAGCACGACCCCAAAGAGGCCACCTCCCACAATTATCTGTGACGCTTTACCGTACAGGCCATAGACAACGCCCCCCCCCTCCCCCAAGCCCTCGACGCAACCAATGACGCCTCACCATGCCGTACCAGAATTCGTACAGTTAGTCACCGTATATCAGACGCGCCAAGACTCACGACAGGCGAGGGTTGCAATTGTTGGCTGAGCGACCGTGTCCCTGCATCGTGTTCTATCCGATCTCGCTTATCTGGCGAGATCGCGGGGCGCGGGAACCCGAACCCCTGTCGACCGCGGTGGTGTTGTGAGCCCTTGTCCCGGATCGAGAGTTTCAGGTTGAGGTTGGTGGATCCATGACCGGAGATATACATGTATGTATGTAGCCAATTTCTCCGTTGTTTTTTTTCTTTCTCCAGCGCATTTTACTTTTCTCCCGCGCACTTGTGATCTGCCTGCGGTGGATTTGGTGTGCCCCCTCAGGATAGTGATTGGTATTTCTTCTCTACCGCATTAATTCGAATGAGCGACCGGTCACACAAGACGTTGAAATTCCCGTGTTTGGTTATTTGTCTTGAATATGCCCCCTAATCTTCCCTCATACTATCTTAAAAGGCAACTTCGACGTCTTGTGTGACCGGCCGGCCGCTCATTCGAATTAATGCGGTATAATTGGTAGGCCGGATACTGCACATGGTGTTGGTTTTGGTGTGCGAGGGATGGTTTGTGGTAGCGGGGACTGGTGGTGCTCTGTGCTTTCCCTCACTTTTTTCTCTCACTTAACGTGTTTCACCGGGAAAGCGATCATCACCGGGAAAGCAGCCGAAGCTCACAGAAGGGCATTATGAGCACCAAAATAATACCTATGAAGCCATACATGTACAGCGACAGGTAATAAGTGATGGAACGCCCTGAGAGTACAAACACCAAATGTTGGTGGCGTTTTACCAAAACAGGCATCGCTGTGTTCGATCAATTCTTACCTACCGCTGTACAGGAGAGTTCTTTTGGTGTTTTTGACTATTTCTTATGATCATAGCGAGTATATAGCTGTGGGGGGAGTGGGGTCATCAGCTGTCCTCAAGCCTTATTGATGACAGTCCCACAGCTATATACTCGCTACCTATTAGTAACAATCATCAGAAATATTCGAAAGATATCTCAAAATGACTTTAGTATATTTAGTTCTGTAATTCTGGGAGATTTTTAATTTTCACAGCAATTCGCGATCCCGTTCATGTCATGCTTGATTGCTTTCCCGGTGACGATTGCGTTCCCGGCGAAACACGTTATTTCTTATCCTTCCTGTTTTGACTTTGTTTGGCCCAACTGCCCTAAGCATAAGGGAGCGTTGAGTATGCGCCCGAGCAGGATGCATGCACTTGCCGCGAGACAGCCCGGAATCCGCAGGCGGCGTGCACGGAAGTCAATGGGAATACCGGAGGTCGGCGCCCGGAGGTGGTGCCTGATATCTAGTGGTGTGCAGGGGAATACATTGAAGAAAGAACCCAGCGTACCATCCTTTTTCCAATTCTTGTGCCGGGGGTCAGGAGCGCGAAGGATACTGGGCACTGCGGGATCTGCGTGGAGTAAACGAAGCAGTAAAGGGAGAGAGTTTCGCAGCCGGGGTAGTCGGTACTTATATCGTACTGTAGGTAGTTAGCCATATCTGTGTCTGTGAGAGAGGTAGTTCAATAAGGGGAGCGCACGCTGCTCACAACACTTGGATCATACTCCCGCTCCACCCCCCCTATAACCGGTACTATCTCAAAAATCCCCCCATTAAAGTACCTATGCACCCTCACATCTAGTACCATGCAATTGGCCACCTCCCCTGCAGTACTCCCAGAGCGCCCGACGAGCTGCAACGTAACCCACCCAGTGCCTTTGTCCCCTCTGCCCCCAGAAAGAAGCTCAAGCATTCCCAGAAGGCAGCGGCCTTATCCCCGCGCACACTGAAAGGGATGCATGGGCGGCCTCGATCGCCGGGGCGTCGCGCAGGCCTGTAATGACGCACGCGTACACGTCGTGCGTCAAGGTTCTCTCACGGACCACCACGGAGCGGCCAGAGTTGCGGTGGCTTTATTTTCGCGCGAGGGGAGAGCACCATAGTCCTCGTCTGGGTTTGGGGATATAGGGCCATCTGTGTCGGTGTTGCAGGCGAAGGCATAGGTGTTGTAGAGCTGGACAAGAGTGCGGGAGAGTTTCCGCCGCCGCCGCCAACAGTGGCGCTAAATGCCATGGGTGCAGCTGTGATCGTGTCTACCCAGTAAACCAATTCCCTGCCGCTCACCTCCCCCGCTGCCAGCCTTCTCAGAAAGCCCGGCTGCTGCCCCCCCCCCCCCCCAGCCCAGTGGCCGCCGCCGGAGGTGAAAGATGCAGTGTAAAGGCCATCACGGCTGCAGTCAGTGATGTGCACACCTCGCTTGTGAGATCTGGGGTGTTTGCGGTGCCAGGTTGGCCAGGGCGGCAGTGTAGAGGGATTGTATGCCACGTCGTAGGACTGCAGCCTGGGTATGGAGGGGGTCTGTGAATTGCCTGTCGTTGGGAGGAGAGTCATCGAAAAGGGGTGGGAGGGGGATCATGAAGAAGAGAGGGGGGGGGGTGTGGAGATACTGGGTGTTGTGAAACTATTGAGGCGGCGACGTTTGTAGGAGGTGGAGGTGAATCTAGAGGGAGGAGGGGCATGAGATCTGTATCTGTCATTGAGCATTCTGTCTGGTGTGTAAGAGAGAGCGAGAGGAGAGGGATGTGTAGTTTATCCTTGGCGTCACAAGGTTATGTAACTCTCAAATCCCTGCCCTCCATGATGATGATCCAATGCCGGCAATCGTCCGGTGTGGCTGTAGTCAACTGTGGTCGATTATGCTAAGCCAGGACGGTGGACGGTCAGGACGGACTCTATGGCCTGTAGTCGACTACGGTTTTCCAGCCAAGCCAGTCCGTCCAAAGGGAGGACGGACGTCAAGGGGTATGGACTGCATATCGCCTAAAAGAGTTCAGTGGTATTGTTTATTATGATGTTTATGGTAATTAAATAGATTTCCGTCCTCATGAAGGTGTCGAGAAATAGGAATCAAGGTGTGCAAATAGGACAGAGAGATATGTGCGAGCAACGTACCGGTATGTGTGAGTAAGTGAGTCCGCCCACCTCTCAGCCACAATTGTTCCACTTCTAGATATCGCCGTGTCACCTTTAAGAGTGTGCGCACCATACATCCACCACAACATCGCAGGCCCGTCCCCAAGACCCCGCCCGCACCCCTGATAACTTCAAATATGGTGGGATATCCTACGGTTGTTTTCTGCTGAGTATTACTTGGACTACCGGTGTACTCTCGACAGGTCAACAGTACTCATTCGCATGCGTGAATGGGCATACCCAGTCAACACTATTCATGGCCGGGTACTGTTCGCTGCTGGGCCAGAACATCTGGGTTGATTGGTTGAGAAGTAACAAGTAACAATAAAAATGTGAATATCAGATTTATATGAGTTCCAAACGAGGCTTATAAAAACAGATGCCGCGGTGCTAATGTACTTGACGTACACCCCCCATCATCTCCCGCAGTGCCAACCCGCCGCGGCGAGGGGGAATTGGGTATGTATGAAAGCCAGACATGGCTTATCAGAATGGCGTACCGGGCCCCCTCTCACTACTACCCCCTAATCACGGACAGAGAGGGCTAGAGAGGATTACTCATCCGCATTCTACCAACCCCTTGGCCTCACACAACACCCATAACACGTTTAGGGCTCACCTCAATCGGGAATTTCCACTCCTCGTGCACGACCCCACTCTCAGGGTTTGTCTGGAAATGGTAATCCCGCAGAAGGGGTGTGTGTAAATGTAGTCATGCTGTGATCACGCCCGGAAGTGGATTAGTTGCGTGTGAGTGGTTATTTTTAGCCCCGTACGTTGCAACATAAGTAAGGATGGGTGAAGGGAAAAGAGAATACACCGCTAGGCACACGAACACCATCAAGAGGTTCCTGTCATGGTGGCCGCTAGCCATGGCTGTACTTTTGGTAATGGTCGCTGTGCACTTGCGCGGCGTGGAAAATATCATCCATACATAGTAGACGCCGATTTTTGTTTGCTGGTTTTCGTTTTTTTTGCCCCCCCTTTTTGCCCAGTCGGCTGAAAAGGTCGAGAACATTGTTTATCACTCTAATGGCCTAGTAAATGCATCAATAGTCCGTTCTCCCATACGAATGAACTGGTAAAAGGCACGAAAAAGCACATTTACAGTCGATGTCTTGTGTAAATCTATCCGAGAATACTTTTACAGACGACTTTACAACTTGTAATACCTTTTACATACGACTTTACTGTCTTCACAATGCCTTTTATTTACGACTTTATTTATGGTTTTACCACTTCCGGGCCATTTCTGAACCTTTTTCTTTTTCCGATGAAGCTTTTGTCAGAATCTCAAGATACTTGATTTCTGATATAAATATGTATACAGGATCACCAGATATTCTTCTGTGTTAATGGGCTTGTAACATTTTGGGAATACATTTTGAATTTAGAAAATTTATTGTTTAATTGGAATGTGGAGATAGTTCCGTGATTCTAACTCTTGGCCCTCAGGTGTTCCCCTTGATCAATATGATCGACTATGTTGCCAATTCACTGTATCTATGAAGCGATTGCAGGTAAGGCCAACTACGTTTTTTCCCCCTGACCTAAATGCCATGATGTTGCTGGTAAAAGAGATTGTAAATTCGCCGGTAAAGTCGTCCAATTTCCCTAACGGATGTATTCAACGGCGACATTGTTCTATGATTCTAATTGGTCAATATTCGGGTGTGCACTTCCAGAGGAAGGAGGTACGAGCCTTGGCGCCAAGGGGTTTGGCTGGGCACTAGCGGCTTGATAGTGGTTTCCCAGCTGTTTAATAAACACTCAGGCATTAACCATCCTAGTGTGTGGTGTCGCTAACTATAAGTGAGGTGTGTGAGTGGTTTAATTAACCCCCTAAAATGTACTGTACCGGGTGTTCACCATTAATCTGAAGAACTCTGCTTCTTTGGTTGAAAATGCAGGGATTTTTTAGAGAGCAACCAATTACCATCAATCACACCGGCCTTAGTGCACCAAATTTGTATGGGGGAAAAAAGTCTGAAGAACTTTCATATATTTCTACTCAAAAATCTAAATATTTTGCTAAAAATACAAAAAAATAACTGCAGAATAGCGCTGGCTCCCAGCTTCCCCTAGATAATATTTTTGAGCTCATAAGCCCTTGTGGGGAGTGTTTTCTGATGAAGTTGGGTGCAAATGACAGTCAAATTGCGGTCTCGGAGGTTGCGTTGCAAAATATGGGTGCAGCCTATTCAAGTACTTTTTCTGGCGCCAAGTATCATTTTCTGCAGCTTCAACCAATCATACGCCAAAAAAAGGTTCTTCAGACAAACCCATAACCCCCGGTACTAGTTCTGTCAAGCTAATAGGCTAGTTCCGACTAACAGGTTACCGGAATTGACTGCCGCCGACCAACAGAAAGTGAGTGATGATGCCGGGGTGGGCTTGTGTGTCCCGAATGGTGGGAGGTGGTGGTGGTGGCTGGGAAGGGGGGGTTGAGCTGGCAGAGTATCTCCCCCCCGGCTCCTCCTCCTCCTCCTCCTCCAAAACCTCTGCAACTCTCAACCCTTCCCTAACATACCGATCATCTACAGACTCAACCAGATGCCTTCCACCCGAAAACGTCCTACGAATAATTATCGCACCACGATCCGAGGTAAAAGGATGCGTGAGACACCCCCAAAGCCAGCTCAAGAAGACAAGTGCGGGCACATCGAAACCGATAGGTGTTGGTGTGCTATTACCGCCGACACGCCTGGTGGAGGGGGTAGGCGGAATGTTCAGCAATCCGCTTCACTAGGTGAAACCATAGGCTTGGACGTATCGGACACGAAAAGACTTTGTGTCCTTGCTCACCATTTCAACCAAGGCCTCAAAAAAGTCTCTCGGAACTCCTGTCTATGCTTGCCGGAGGGGCGTCGGGGGGTGGGATCTAGTTGACAATTGCAATACCGCCGGAGAGTCCATCGCCTGGCTCCGGGAGGTAATGGCATCCATGGTACTCCACGGGCAGGGGATGACGATAAGTCCAGCTGATGACGGCTCGGGCACCCCAATCGATAGGGATCCATTCGCGAGGATACCCCAACTCGAGCCAGTCTCTCGGCCTCGCCCCGTGCCCAGGGGGACAGTAGATATTCGGGAAGGGACCTTCAACGACCGTAGTCGGGTGGGAAGAGCCTGGTTCGCCCACGGGTTTATTCCAGCGTTCTTCAAGGTGCTGTCCCTTGGTTCGATTGAGGACCGAGCCATGTTAGCCAACGTAATGAAGACACCGGCGCAACAAAGAAAGCAATGTGTTTACACATTGCTCTCCATGGCAGTCTCTTCCGAGTTGGGCGACCTTGATGGTATCGCCCCAGATGTCGGCGATGCCAGCCAGCAACTCCCACCCAGTACTGATTATGGGGTTGACCCCAGTATGCCAATGGACATCGACATCGCTAGCCCCTCAGAGGTGACTTATAGCGATAGCGCAGTCGTAGATGAGAGTACAATTCATCAGCGATCAGCACCTCCAGATTTGACACAACGACGTGAGAGGCAAGCGAGCGAGGATAACGATGGCGAAGAGCGCACACACTACAGCGGTGGCGGCGGGCATGAGGTCACGGCCACACACCCCGTCGGGTACTGTCCCGCCGCTGGAGGCGTTCATGGGAGAGAGGCCTCCCTAACTGCACACGGATACGCACCGGACAAATCCCCGCGGCCGCCCACGAAATACGCCAGCACGACGGACCTTTACAACGGACTCGCCGCCGAAAGCGAGTTAGATATGATGAGAAAAGAGATCCCCAGTCTGCGTATACAGCTGGAGAAGCAAGATGAATGCTTGAAGGATCACAAGACACAGCACCCCCGAACTCCTAATATGCTGGTATGATCACATCCCAGCCGCATCGTGGGGCGGGACTCGGACATCGTGGTCCTGCAGGTCCACCGCCCACGAGTGCGCGTAGAGGATGTCCTCGCAGTTCTTTCAGCCATTTCTGCGAATTGCGGAGCGAGACGTGGGGGGGGGGGGGGTTGTGAAGCGATGGGGGGAGGCCAAGGGTGGGGGAAGCGAGGTGCGTGTGGGGCAGCGGTCTTTTGGTGTTTCTTTGATGGATCGGGCAGTGGAGCGGCGTTTGTCGGTGGTGCGGGTGGGGGTGGTGTTGGGGTCGCATGCCGTATCCTAGATTTATGGAGCCGTTAAATGCTTGGCATGCTCCACACCATCTTGACTGGATTATCGCGGGGATCTTCAGCTGCTATTGCATACTAGTAGTACCATACAAAAGATAGCCTTGGCAAGTTTTTTTCTGTGTATGCAATAGCAGTTGCGTCCAAAAAACTACTGCCAAGCCTCGCCCCTCATCGACTCTCAACCCCCACTCCGCACCCCCCCGCACCCATGTCGGCCCATTGTTCACCCCCTCTGATTGCTCCTAGACACTGCTTCGCCATCCACACCTCATACTATGCCACCTCTCACACCCCCTCCCCCCTCCCCCTCCCCCCACCCCTGGTGTTGGCCAATACCATCACCTCCTCCGCCAACTGCTCCATAAACTTCACCCGACCCGGGGTGTAGAGTAGCCTTCGTGCACTAAATTAAATCTCGTAGCCATCCCCTCCTGGCTGCTCGTACCTCGCTTGATATAGTGGGTCTGTGATATCGGGCTCTAAATTGTGATGTTGGAGTCCGAAGTGTGATGTAAAAGCCCGAATTGTGATATCGGGGTCAGAATAAACCTTAATTCTCATGTCGGAGTCTAAATTCTTCTTGTCGGAAGCTAAAAAACTTTATGTTTTGTATGTAAATTGGGCTCCGACAGACCTCTCCGACGTCGGAGAGCTCTCGCCAAGCGTCGGAACGATATTCAAGAAAATGTCACCCCTCCTCACACGATGATTCGGGGCAGGAAAGACCGTCAATCAAAACTGTATCCAAGGATGATTTTTTCCTTACACGGTTACACCCATAGTAGACGAACCTACACCTAGAAGCGACAAACCCCGACAGCAAAATGTTCTGGACCCATTTACCCGTCACTTCCCATCCACTGGTATCGACATATAGGATACCCAAGCATTGAACAGCGAGAAATGCATAACCTATCTATTACTGACAAGATGCTAAAACTAAACACCAAGGTACAATTTAAACTCGCCACAAGTAGATGGAAACTTCGACGTTTGTGAAGAAAATATCAGGGTTCGGGATTTGCATGGCTGAGCTATCAATGAATGTACTCGCCAGTTCTAGAGATAATTTGATCCTGGTCTATCTTTGCTAGACCGTACGCACCAAACCAAATTTTAGGACTAGGAATAAACCCTAGTATCATCAATTATCGATGATTTTTGCTACTTAGGTTGCAATAATTGTAATTTGTAGACTCTCAAGCACCCACCGGATTATGATACCTGTTAACCATCAGTGCGTGGTAAACCCTCGAGTCTCTATCAGTGAGCAGGTTACCCATTGGCTGTAAAATGCATTTTGGTGAATAGGATTTGCCATACCAAAACGTCTAATCAGGAGGTAGCGTCTGCGCATAGAACAGACGCGGGGTACAAAACTGCCCACAATGACATTGTGGGGTGAATGTCTCCGCACATACCCTTTTTTTTTTTTTTTTTTTTTTAATCATGTAGTTTTAATTGATTCTAGGTACAACCCTATCTCTGTCTAATTGATGCACATAGGATATTAATAGCATTTAAAGTTTGAAATGGAAAGAAAGGGGACCAGTGCCCTCTAAATTCATTCGATTTATCCCATGGCCTGGTGAGACATGCAGATTCGGGACCCTCCAAACTAGGCAGGCTTAGACTGTGGCCCAGTGACTTTGCCATGGGATTTACATATGGCTGAGCTCGCCGCCACGGAGGCAAAGGCACTGGGCCACAGACTAAACCTGCCTAGTTTGGAGGGTCCCGAATCTGCATGTCTCACCAGGCGATGGGATAATATTTAGCGAACATGCAGGTGATTGGTACACGTAGCGTGCCTAATTTGGGAGCCTCAGTGCGCAGTGGAGTCCTAGCGTGAATACGCGGGGAAACACTGTTCCCCCATCAACACATCCTCCAAAACCTCAACATCAGCAACCTTGTATACGCTTTCTCTACACAATGTCTTTCGGTTTCGGTGTCGGCGACTTTCTTGTCACTATAGAGCTTGCCCTAAAAATCTATGAAAAATACTACAAAGTTGCCCGGGGCGCCCCCAAGGAATTTCAGTGCCTGATACAGGAAATTGGGATATTGCATCACTCCTTAGATCTTCTTCGGAAAGAGGCCAACAATAAAGAATCCATCTTGGTGCGTGCTGGAGATGAGCGAATGAAGATGGCGGAAAAAGTCGTGCGTCAGGTTGATATCACACTTCAAAAGCTAGAGAAACATTCAAAGAAATACGAAAACCTTAGTAAGATCCATTCTAGCAGTATAAAGAAATGGTGGACGGGTGTGAAGTGGTCTGCCGAGGCCTCTGATCTTGATGCATTACGAAATAAGGTGAGCACACAAATCCTTTTGAGATATATACCTGTGCAGATATATTGCATACCTTGTATACAGTACTTCCATCAAGAAGCCTTCTGAGGCTCCTGCGCCCCTCAAGGGTGATACACGCAATCCCTGTTTCCGGTGAAGCATTTACAAATCCCACGCCCCTCCTTATCAGAAGGCTTTCAAGGTTTGTTCAAGCCACTAACATTCATGTGCAACCCAGATAGTTTATCACAATGGGGTTATCAGTCTACTCCTAATCTCATGCGCAAAGTATTGTTTCCCCATCAAGAAGCCTGAAGAAAGAGTGTTGACACGCCCCGCCGCAGTTCCTCCATACAACGGGTAGAAGCAATAGCATTGGGGGTTGAGAAGGGGGTCAATGATATCAAGAACATGATCCGGGGCCCTGGAGATGCAGCCCCCACTCTCTCAGCTATAGAGGATGACAAAACCTTCACGATATCTCTAAGCCGAAACCTGATGAAAAGTGCAGAGATCAATGGACGAAGATGGAGTGCAATCGGAGTCGATGAATGGATCCAAGCGGGGAGTTGGTGGCTATTAAAGGTACCTATTCGAATACTGTGGCAACAAGTTCTTCTACTACGTTCACAGACACCTATTGCTCACAGACGTCTATTAACTACCCACGTATATAGTCGCAGATGGACCTGTACACTGGACCCCGGCTAAAGTGCAAGATATCCTCGCAAGGCTATGCGAACCTCCTGAAGGCAGCGTGGATATTGATAGATATTATTACTAAACACCCACAACTGGACTATCTTGAGACAAACACCGGGTACGGGGTAAAGCTACTAGTAGAGGTAGGCGCAAATTCCTATACACATTAATATTTCAGAACGAAGTACGCATAACTCACATAAATCAGACAATACGAAGGGAGCTTGAGAATGTTACAAATTCAGGCCTGGTAAGGCCAACAGTTACAGCATTGAGTACTTCTGATTTAGCGATATGGGAGACACAAGTAAAAGAGCCCACTTTACAGCCTCATTTAGAAACAATGAACTCAGGCTTGAGCCGTCAGGCATGGATGACAGAAAATGAATATGTTCTGTTTCAACGGTATTACCCCATACCAATGAATTGGCATGGTTGCTAAGTTTTTAGATTCGTATATTATCAGACAAACAGCTACTCTATAGAAATGCCCTGCATTGTTCTTTTCCTAATGCACAAGTCGATTAAGGAGGCAAAAATAGTTCTGAGAGATCAGAGCTGGTTCACATTAGCCACATTTCTTGGTATTTCTCCTTTCCTCCTCCTCATAATGTAGTCTCGTGCCGAACACTACCGGAGTCCTATGTTTAGTTTCGGCTAACAGGATGTTAGTGAGGGATGAAACTCCATGTCCTGTTGAGAACATTGTGCAAATTGGAGATCAGAAAATAAGATTTTCGACAACACAAGGTATTATATCATCGTTCTTTCCAGACATCTCAATGGGTGGCACCCAACCCGGGAATGACCCGGGTAGCACCCGGCGGGTCTGGGTTGGGTACTGCCTCTTCTTCAACGGGTCGGGCCGGGTTGGGTACATACTCTTTTGACACCCGGGTGTACCCATTGATATGTCTGGTTCCTTCCACAGCGTTATTTAATTAACAATTTCATAAAATAGATGTTCTTCACCTATGCGCGATCTCGGAAGCTGCTATGGAGTACCTCTTTTATTGTAATTTCAACGAGAACGACCTGGAAACGATGCAGGCGTTTACCCTGCTCTTTTCCGTCAAGAATAACTATAGGGAGCTTGTTGAGCGGTTGCTTGAGGACGAAGAGGTTTATCTAGAGATCGATAGGCCCAGAGAGACTATCAGGGAAAAGTACTCTACCAGATTACGACGGGTAGCGAATGATTTAGCGAGCCAGCCCACCGAAACACATAAGCCCGTGCAAGGTGGCCCTCCGAACGCTGAAATTTACCTATCTCTATTTCTTTGGTGTGTAAAACACGGTTACAATAAAATTGCCATCATGGTGGGCGAGGGGAAAGGCGTACACATGGATGAGCAGAGTGTAGTTATGTGCAAGTCTCTACACCACGCTGTGCGTAGTGGGAACTCGGAGTTCGTGAAACTTGTTTCTTCAGAAAAAGACGTTAATCTAGAGGCAAGGGGTGATTCAACGGATGGTTTGGGGTACACGGCATTACAAATATCAGCTAAAACTGGATTCAAAGCGGCCATAGACATTTTAATAGAAGCCGGCGCCGATCTCACGGCGGATAGTTCGCAGTCGTTATGTTACGCAGTTGAGAACGGCCATCTAGCTGCGGTCAGAAGGCTTCTCGAGGTGGGTGGAGACGCCAAGGTAGTAGGCTCGAAAGCTCTATGCAACGCATTCGATAAAGGCCGCTTAGATTTGGTGGAGTGTCTCATCAAGGCTGGTGCCGATGGTGTAAAGGTTTTACGTCAGGCAGCTAGGAACAGTCACCTAGATACAGTCAACAGGCTCCTGGATCCTGGTGCCGATGCCAAGGCAGATGATTCACCGGCATTAAGTCAAGCAGCTGAGCGCGGCCATCTGGATATGGTCAACAGGCTCCTAGATGCCGGCGCCAATGCCAAGGCATATGATTCGAGGGCGTTGAGCAACGCAGCTGAGCGCGGTCATCTCGATGTGGTCAACAGGCTCCTAGATGCCGGCGTCGATGCCAAGGCGGCGCGGTGGGCGTTGAGTCACGCAGCTGAGCGCGGTCATCTCGATGTGGTCAACAGGCTCCTAGATGCCGGCGCCGATGCCAAGGCATATGATTCGAGGGCGTTGAGCAACGCAGCTGAGCGCGGTCATCTCGATATGGTCAACAGGCTCCTAGATGCCGGCGCCGATGCCAAGGCAGATAATTCGTGGGCGTTGAGTAACGCAGCTGAGGGCGGTCATCTCGATGTGGTCAACAGGCTCCTAGATGCCGGCGTCGATGCCAAGGTAGATTATTCGTGGGCGTTGAAAGGGGCGGCGTCAGGCGGTCATCTCGATGTGGTCAACAGGCTCCTAGATGCCGGCGCCAATGCCAAGGCATATGATTCGAGGGCGTTGAGCAACGCAGCTGAGCGCGGTCATCTCGATATGGTCAACAGGCTCCTAGATGCCGGCGCCGATGCCAAGGCAGATGATTCGATGGCGTTGGGTAACGCAGCTGAGGGCGGTCATCTCTCTGTGGTCAACAGGCTCCTAGATGCCGGCGCCGATGCCAAGGCAGATAATTCGTGGGCGTTGAGTAACGCAGCTGAGGGCGGTCATCTCGATGTGGTCAACAGGCTCCTAGATGCCGGCGCCGATGCCAAGGCAGATGATTCGATGGCGTTGAGTAACGCAGCTAAGGGCGGTCATCTCGATGTGGTCAAGAGGCTCCTAGATGCCGGCGCCGATGCCAAGGCAGATGATTCGATGGCGTTGAGTAACGCAGCTAAGGGCGGTCATCTCGATGTGGTCAACAGGCTCCTGGATGCTGGTGCAGATATTAAACACCTCGACAGCGGAGTCAGGACTAAGCTCGAGACTTGGAAAAGCAAGTATCAATCCACTCTTAGACCCGACCATATACCGCTCAAACCTACCACCCCAACCAGTTAAGATGAAGGTAAGATCTACTTGCTCTTACTTGATACCTGTGTTGATGCCTGTTGTCTCATCTATTTTTATTAGTATTTATTTATCCTGTTCTACCGGGGCCATGATAGAGTAGGTACTGGTTTGTGTGAGGATTGGAGAGAAGTGGAGTTGAGTTTATTATGAGTCCTCATGTGGTTAGAATACGTTTGTGCTAGGGAGGAATAAGTGGCGGGGATGGAGGTGTAGATTGTGATCGCTTTTTAGATTAGGTTCTATATGAAAGAAGGTCCACCATTTCGGGTGAGTGATATTCCACACATGTATAGGGCACACTCAATCCGAACGCGGCGCAATTATCACTGCCGTCGGAGCTCTCATGATTACCTTTAAACGTATAGCTCTTTTTTGAGACCACTGTCCTCTATCGGCCGGCCATTTCACTCAATTTTCCTCTTAGGTTACGCTCAACCCGCATCCAAACCTCATAGATCAAGAGAAAACTCACAAGCGAAGGGAACCAATTCCAATTATATCCAAATCAAAAGCTCTTCTTATCTCATGTGCCGAATTAGTATTGACGGAAGCCGATATCGCGAAGCTGCAGTTGAAGGTTATTCGGATGAAATACGAAGGGAAAAAAGCAATTAGGGCAGATAGGCGGATTCTGTCCAAAGTTCAAATCATCACGGGAAGGAGGTAATTAGGATGCGAGAACAGCTGGAGAGAAAGGCTTTCAAAATCATTAGTGGCTAGCAAGGAGTTAAAAGGAAGGAAAAGTAACGGCACACCCAAGGACCCTAACTTCTTCCCCGACACATCCAATCTTCAACTCAAACCCAGTCCAGAAGGTCCCAGAAAAACCCGGTAAACACAGAAGGAAGGACTCCCAAATAGTCCTAGTACTTCCCCTCTATCATGGCCTACCCGCAATGGATTGAAGAAACCCAAGCATATTCCACCCGCTACCTTTGCAAATCCAGCCAGTTATGCCACCCCTAAACGCAAATCCAATCCCAAAAAGGTCCATACAGTAAACCCTGAAGATGATATGTGTTGGGAGGTCCTCGAAGTTGGGGACAGTTCTGAAGAGAACGTAGATGTTGAGCCTTTCCAAGAACCCAACCATTCCGGACCAGTCACCGGAAAATCAAAGGGTTCTGCTAGGGCTCGCTATCATCTAGATTCAGTTCATGGTATTCCGCTAGATGAAGGCTTCTCAGGCAAGTCACTAAGGTCCAGGAGGTACTGGTAGATTCATTTTGTTAGGACATATCTTATTCACAACTATATATTAGAAAGAAATATCAGAAAATACTATCCCCGTGATTGACTTGTACCAACAACCCTTTCCTACCGTACTCGTGTTCATGTTGAAAGTGTAGCGACAGCCAAGGAGAGAAAGTGAGACTGTCTCAGTGGTCTGAGACATTGTGCGACTTCACGGCGTTAACCGACTTCCCCGTCCGGTGCGTTATCGGGCATCTGGAAAAACTGACCTACCTGCGCATATGGGGCGATATATATGCATGACTTCACGCACTCCGACAGTGCGAAAACATCGATGTCGGGAGCTACATACAGGGCTGGCGCTAGAGGGTGGATAAATTAATGCGGGCCGGGCACTACAAAGGTATTGTGGCTCTCGTCTGCCACGTACCTGCAGGTCGGTAAATGTCAACATGTTGCGGCTGCATGTGTCACCCACCGTCGATCACTGCAGCACGGCACGGGCTACCGAGGGGGCTCAGCAGATGCATATGCAGGTACTGTCGTTCACGGGGTATTGGCGGGTACTGGGTGTTGGCGGATTGAAGCCAAAGGTTGGCTTGGCTGTCTCTTTTTAGGCTTATCCGCCAACACCCAGTACCCGCCAATACCCCGTGAACGACAGTAACGGTGCAGGCACGGAGTTCACTCTACTCTGGGCGCTGTGACATCATGGGCGGATGTGACTGGTCCGTGATGGAGGTAGCGACCGTGGCCTGTGAGATGGTTTGTGGAGGGTGTGTGGGTTTGTTTTGTGTTGCTGCGCGGTTGTGGGTTTTACATAAATGCATGGGTGCTTCGCCATTTCGGATGTTTCGATTCAAGGTTTTGTTTAACTGTTTTGTTTGAGGGCGATGTAAACAAAAGATGTGACGAAGCAATCTTCTACTTTACTTTGATGGTGTTTGGGGAGATGGCCAGTGCTAAGCGATAATTCTGTAGCGTTTAAACTGATGATATTGTAAACCGGATTCCCTTGACTTGATGGTTGATGATACCCTCAAGTCTTCGCAGAACCAAGCCCTATTTCTACATGTTGGAACCTATGCCAAGGCCCGCTTTCTAAAACTAACTGATACAACTATAATAGAATAAGATAATGCTCCCGAAGATAACTCAGATAGAAAAGCGCCCCCGCATAGTTCCATCCTCCATTCTAATTCTGACACGTAACCATGAACCTTGCAATTGCCAGTCATCGGGCTGTACCATACTATTATCCTAGACCTACTTCCCTAAGTAGAACAGCCCACAGCCGTAAGCCCCGCTTCCTATTCTATTTCGGGTGAGACACCCAATAGTAAGCGTGCCGTCATAATAGTATGGGACTAGTGTGGTAACACCGCGTGCCCCCACACTACCCGATACCTTTCTATGCTTGTCCTTTCGTTACCCGACCGTCATCGCATCACAACCCGTCACTCGTATTCCTCACTGTCCTAAGCCTCTAGAACAGTGCTTCCGTAGTTCCTGTAACACTACTCCCCCTTCCTAGACGTCGCCCTCGACCGTTAAAACCCTTCTATGATAAAAACCCTGTAGGAAAATTCATAGAGTAGGGAAAGGTATCGAGCTTAGTCCCGCCTGTTCCGTTGTCGTTTACGAGCCCTTTCATCATCGATCGCTGGGCCTTGACTTCGTGTGTGGGGTCGTAGGTTCGCGGTTGGTTGGAAGTTCTCGTCCGCCAATGCTTCTTGTGGTTCGGGTGTTGCTAGTCGTTTCCATGTGTTCTGTTGCCTAGTGGGATCCGGGTCCTCACGATAGGGTCGTAGCAGTATTTCGTGAAAGACGTCATGAACCTTACATTCTACCGGAAGTTCGAGACGGTAAGCCTGATTGCCCATCACTGCTGAAACTGCGAATGGTCCTGTGAACTTGTCTGACCACTTGGAGTATCCTCCTAGGTTCCGAGTATCCAACAAGACTTTCTGACCGATAGTGAACCGCTGTGCTGCTGGTCCTGGCTTTGACGCCATCCTGTCGAAAGTCTTCTGTAGCGTATCTCTCGCTAACTCATGAGCCGTGATGATCTCATCCAAGTAGTTGTTCCCGTTGGCATCTAATCGTTCGATCTCTGCATCCGTAGGCCAATCCGTTCGAGGGTGGAAGCCAGAATTGCAGTAGAACAGCGATTGGCCCGTCGACGTATGCTTCGCATTGTTGTAGGCGTATTCACAGATAGGTAACAGGTCCTTCCAGTTCTTGCCTGTTCCTGCCGTATATGCCCGAATATAACCTTCCATGTGTTGGTTGGTTCGTTCTGTCCGGCCGTCGGTTTGCGGGTGGAATGAAGTAGAGAGTCTCCTACGAATCCCCAATCTTTCCGTAATTGCCGTCCAGAATGCTGACACGAACTGTGTTCCTCTGTCGGAGATGATACTCCTAGGGAGTCCGTGGAAACGCCAGATGTCTTTAACAAATGCGTTAGCGGTCTGTTCCGCGTTGATTCCCGTCTTTGGAATGAAGTGAGCCATCTTTGTAAAACGGTCCACGACTACCAATACGTTACGGAATCCTGATTTCTCCTTATGCATTTCCACTACGAAATCCATTGAGATATCAGTACAAGGTGTGGTGGCTAACTCTAGGGGTTGAGGGAGTGACAAGTGTCTCCGACGTTGCTTGGCTCTCTGGCATACATCGCAAGTCTTGACGAAGTTGGCTACATCCGTGGACATTCCTGGCCACCAGTAGTTCCTATCGATCAACTCAAGGGTTTTATCCCTTCCTAGATGCCCCGCTATGGGTCGATCATGATGTTCCTCAATGACCTGCCTGACCGCGTAGCCCGGTACTACCCATCGACCATCGTGGGTGGGGTCATTCGAATCGGGACTCCATTCAGCGGCAGGCTCTACCTTTACGATAGCAGCCTCCGGTGGTCCAAAGATCTCAAGGTTTGAGTCAGGGAAGTGTTCATCCGGAACCATCCTCCGAACCCATCGTCTTTCCTGTTCATACCAACCCTGTAGTGGCTGAGGCAGCTCTACGCTCGGTATGTCGTACCACTGATCCAACTGATTCCATTCCTCTTCGGGGTTGCCAATCACTTCAGACCCAGTTTCTACGCTGGTCCGTGATTTTCTGACAAACTGTTTTGCACTGAGTAGTTGTTTTATGGGCTGCTCACGCATTATTCCCCCTTCCATCGCGAACTCCAGACGCCTTGTAAGTGCATCTGGCTTGCCATTCTTTTCGCCTGGTCGGTAATGGATTTTGAAGCGAAAAGGTGCTATTTTCTCGGCCCATCTGGCTTGTCTTCTCGACAACTTCTTGGTCGTTGTGAAATACTGCAGGTTTTGGTGATCCGAATGTATCTGGATAGGGATGTCCGTCCCTTCCAGCCAATATCTCCAAGTCAGGAGAGCAGAAACTATTGCGAGCATCTCCTTGTCATAGATCTCATAGTTAACTTCTGCCTCATTGAACTTGCGAGAGTGGTAAGCTACCGGATGTAGAATACCGTCCTCGAACACCTGAGAGAGTACTGCGGCCTCGGCCCAGTTACTCGCATCAGTTTCCACGATTGCTTCAAGGTGTTCGTCGTAGTGTCGGAGTATTGGAGCAGACGTAAATCTCCTCTTGACCTTGTCGAACGCATCTTGCTGTTCCCTGCCCCATTTCCATACGGCACCTTTCTTCAGGAGATCGGTCATAGGTCTGCAAACCTCAGAATATCGGTGGATAAACCGTCTTAGGAAATTGGCGAACCCGAGGAAGCACTGAAGTTCCTTGACCTTGGTTGGGGCTAACCAACCTTCGATCGCTTGGACTTTCTTCGGTGATACTTGGTTTCCCTTTCCTGATAGTATAAATCCCAGGAATTCTACCTCCTGTTGATACCACTCTGTTTTCTCGAGGTTTCCGTATAGGTGGTGTCGTCGCAGTCGCTCCAAAACTTCTCGTACAAGAGTCGTATGCTCTTCTCTAGTCTTTGAATACATTAAAATGTCATCCAAGTAGACTACTACACCTTGATCTAGAAGATCCTTAAATATGGTATTGACCATGACCTGAAACGACGCAGGAGCATTGGTCAAGCCGAAAGGCATTACCCTATATTCGAAGAGGCCGTATTTTGTTCGGAAAGCGGTTTTCCATTCTTCGCCCTTAGCAATCCTAATCAGATTATAGCCATTTTTCAGGTCTATTTTCGTGAAGTAGAGTGCTCTTTTCGTTGCGTCGGCCAGCTCATTCATGAGCGGCAGTGGATAACGGTTCTTGATTGTGATTCCATTCAAGCCACGAAAGTCGACACATAACCGAAGCTTGCCATTAGCTTTCGGAACGAACAGGACGGGTGCCGCTGCTGGGCTAGTAGAGGGGACTACTTTGCCGGAGGGCAGGTTTTCGTCCAAATATTCCCGGAGTGCCTTGTCTTCAAGTGGGGAGAGCGAATAGATCGGTCCCCACGGAGGCTGCGTTCCTTCCATAAGAGGAATGGTATGATCCCATTCAGAGTGGTCAGGTAGTCGAGCGGCTCCTTCCTTGGAGAACACGTCGGCATATTCCTGAAACTCCACCGGTATAGCACTAACGAGAGCCTCGTTTACCGATGCTCTTGCCCAAAAGGGGTGTTGCTCGATCGTCATCTGCTTCTTGGGTGACGCCCTCAGCAGCCTGATGACCAGCTCTTCTGGGTCTTGATCGTATATGTCCTCGACTGATACGAAGTATCCATTGACTATACAGTTGTTACTATGGAAACTAACACTGTTGCGTCCCCAATGGATGGTTGGTTGATGCTCCTTGAGCCATCGATGTGGTATGACGAGGTCCTCTCCTGCAATCGAGCCGACCTCACAGGTGATAGCCCTGTCTAGATGGTTGCCGATGCGGAGGTTAAGAGGTTGAGTGATGTGAGTGCCGGAGTTGGGCATAGGGGTACCATCGGCCTGTCTGATGACGAGAGGCTTTGGTCGAGGTTGAGTGGGTATTCTTGCACGATGGATACAGTCCCAAGACATGATCCAGTCCTCAGTGCCACTGTCTAGGAGTGCGTTGACTGTTGCGACATGTTTGGTACTAGATGCGGGATGATCCCAAGAGATCTCGATCTCGAGGCGAGTTTCTTGTGTGTTGGAAGACATGTTTGTATGTTGGTTTGATAAAAGGTTTGTATTGGTTTTGGATATGGGTTGGTGCGATGGTTTTCTTTGCTGAGCGCGAGGTGAGGGGGTTTATATAGAGTATTCGAGTGTTTGATGAAAATCATGGTACAACACTTACGCACCAGGCGTTTCGGGGTGTAACCCCATCCTC